GTTACAAACTGTATGGCCATGGCAGGCTTCTTGCTAACTGTTCTTACAGCTTAAATTAATCCATTTCCATTAATCTATACCTTGCCACATGGCTCGTGGCTTACCGGCATCTTCACATGCGACTTGTCATCATGGCGGCTGGCAGTGTCTCCCCGATTCAGCCTTCCACTTCCCAGCTCTATTCTCCTCCTTGTCCCGCCTATACTTCCTGCCTGGCCACGGGCCAATCAGTGATTTATTTATTGACCAATCAGTAACACATTTGACATACAGACCACACAGCACACGCGAGGGCTGGAGGAAAAGCTCAGCTGGTAAAAGCATTCGCTGCTCTTGGAGAGGACCAGAGTTGGGCACAGCACTCACATCAGGAGCACCACTCACATCAGGAGCACCACTCACATCAGGAGCACCACTCACAATCACCTGCTAACATGCCCTCTGCTGGTCTCCATCGGCAACTACACATACATGCACATACACACATGCCCACATGCGGACACACAGATTGCCAAGAAAGTTAAACATCTTATACTGTCATAGAATGTGACAAACTAGAAAAAATAAAATAGCTGGGCAGTGGTGGCGCACGCCTTTAATCCCAGCACTCGGGAGGCAGAGCCAGGCGGATCTCTGTGAGTTCGAGGCCAGCCTGGTCTCCAAAGCGAGTTCCAGGAAAGGCACAAAGCTCCACAGAGAAACCCTGTCTCGAAAAACCAAAAAAAAAGAAAAAATAAACTAAACCGGGCAGGCCCAGCATGGTCTGGAACTGCTCTGACGATGGTCTTAAACTTGAAATCCTCTTGTTCAGTCTGCCACTGCTAGAACTGCAGGTGTGCGGCCCCACCATGTCTAGTTGGAAAATAGGGTTATGGATTGGGATCGGAACAGTGTAAACAGCAGATTTAAAGAGACGTCACGTGGTAGCTAACCTCAGGTCTTCTACTGGATTAATGAGCTGTTTTGCTAATCCACAGGCTTAGGCAACAGTGCTTCAACACCCGGGCACTCACAGCACCAGGAGGTATTTGTTGAGTCTTGTGACTGAGACACACAGGCTGCTCCCACTCAGGGCTGCCAATGCTGGAGTCTTCATCTTGGCCGAAGCTTCAGCCTCCCCTCAGGACCCGAAGCACAGCAGAGCTGGCTTCCAGCTGGTGAGCCGCTGCGCCCGAAGCCTCCGTGGCCAGGCCAGCAGTCTGCCACACCACCGTGGCTTTTCCTGCATTCACTCTGCCCACAGCACTTACCCCTGAGGTTTCCCCCATCTGTTCCTTGTCTCTTTTGCCTCAGTGATGAGGAGTGGCCACAGCCCGTCCCAGCAGCCACCTGCCTCCTTGGCCAAAGCCCAGCCCTGATTTCTTTATGCGTTTATCCTCCAGCCTCTGAGAACTCTTTCAGGAAGGATTCGGGGTGAGAAGGAAATAGGGGAACCCTCTGTCTAGGCAAGCTTATTTTTTTCCGGCCAGGCTTGTCTGCTGCCTGCACAATCAATGCATAGAGGACACGTTCCTTGACACCCTCCCTTGGCAGGGAGGCGACAGCTGCTCTTATGCAAGCGACCCTCGAGGGAGGATGTATAGAAATGCCTCCGGAGAAACAGCTCAGAAGCCCTGGAGCTTGGGCCGTCCCCTGGCATACTCTCTGAAGACAGACTCTCCTCTCTAGGTCTCTTCATTTGGAACTCAGGGAGGATGGCACTAGAGCCCTCAACTTTCCGGCGGCTCTGCTGCCAAAGTCCAAGTGAGCAGCCATAATGAAAGCTGCCGGTGGGCACGCTGCTTGCCCGCCTATTGGGCCAGGAAGGAGAGTGGGTAGATCCTGACCACCTTCTGGGCAATATGATCTCATGATGTGCATCTTTCCATATGCCTTCACTCTTTCTTTCAGCAAGGGGTTGGCTCATCCTCCCTCCCTCCCTCCCTCCCTCCCTCCCTCTCCCCTTTCCTTTTTGGGAGGCCTCTTCTGTAGCCCAGGCTGGTCTTGAACTCAGGATTTTCCTACCTTAGCTTTGAGTCCCAGGATTAAAGGAATGAATCACAATGCCCAGTTTTGTTGTTTTGTTTTATTTTTTTGTTTTTCTTTGAAACAGGGTTTTTCTGTGTGACCCTGGCTGTCCTAGAACTCGCTCTGTAGGCCAGGCTGGTCTCGAACTCACAGAGATCAGCCTTCCTCTGCCTCCTGAGTGCTGGGATTAAAGGCATGTGCCACACCCAACTGCATTTTCCTGATTAATGACTGATGTAAGAGGGCCCAGGCCACTGTGGACAGTACTACCCATGGGCAACTGAGTGGGCCTGGATTGTATTTAAAAAAAAAAAAAAATCAAGCTGAGCAAGCCACTAGGAGTTTCATGTCCTAGTGGCAAACATTTCCAAATCTGGCTGAGGATGTAGTTGAGGTAAAGTGTTTGTCCAGCAGATGCAAAGCCCCGGGCTTGATTCCCAGCACTGCATACAACCAGGCATGGTGACACAGCCTTCATTCCAGCACGTGAGAGGTGGGGCAGGGGATTCACAACCTCAAGGTCCTCCTCCACTGCAGTGAGTTTAAAGCAGCTTTATTGGTTGTTGTATTAAGGCCACTCCACGTAGTTAAAAGGGAGGTTTATTTTGTGGGGTAACTCACAAGTGAAGGGATAGGTAACAGGGTCTGGGAAAGGTGTAGCGCAGTCCGGCGGTGTTCTCTGGAGAACTCTGCTCGGTCTACCTCCAGTGTCCAGGGTCCAGGAACTAAGAGAGGGCGGCGCATCCGGACCTCGGGTCTTCAGGGCTCCTGTTTTGGCCCCGCCTTTTAGGCGTGACAGTTACCGACGCCTCACTGGGGGTAGTACTTCCAGGTCAAAGCTGGAATGACTACCCACTGCACAGCTGGGCTATATGACACCCTACCTTAAAACAAAACACAAAACAAGCAAGCAAAAAAACCAAACAAACAAAAACAAAAAACAAACAACCCAAGACCAAAAGACAGTAACTGGTTATGACTAATTGAATGGGCATGGTTCCCCCACCCTAACTACAGGGCTTCCTTCACAGTGCATTTTATAGTCCAACGCAGTGGTTTTCAACCCATGGGTCTCGACCCTTTACAGAAGTCACCTAAGACCATCTGCATATCAAATATTTACACTGGAATTCATAACAGTAGCAAAATTAGTTATGAAGTAGCAATGAAAATAATTTTATGGTTGGGGGTCCCCACTTGAGGAACTGACTGCATTAAGGGGTCAAAGCATTAGGAAGGCTGAGAACCACTGCTCCGAGGTCTCCTAGAAGCAGACTTAAGCAAGAAGCTAAAAGCTGGAAAGGACCCTCAGAACAGTGGCTAAGCTAGTGACTGTACTTGGATGCTCCCAAGCATTAGGTGATTTTCTGTAGCTGGGTGAGGGCCAGGTGATTTCCTGCAGGCTTGGGGAGAGGCACCTGAATGGAAGGAGGCAGGAGATGGCAGCTACTGCCTTTCTAGCAGGCACAGAGACAAAACGGCCCTGGGAGCGGCAGAAAAAACTGAGCTCCGGCAGCTGTGCTTGATCAAAAGCTGGGCCCCCGCAGTCAGCTCCTTGGGTTCTGCAGACAGACATCTTGCCTGTCAACATCATGTCCAGTGACTATTGATGGCCACCAGTTACCCTGCTGGTGACATCCAGTGTTCATGGCTACAAGCCCTTGGATACATTAACCAAATGGTACTAAATGCCTGCTAGCAGATGGAGCAGACATCCATCCCAGCTTGGGCTAGCCCTGCAGGGAGTCCATGGGAAGAGGATGGGGATGGGTGTCCCTCTCCCCCACTCAGTCTAATCAACATATAAGAGCTGGGCACAAATTAGCCTCCACTCCTGGGATTATGTGACCATACTTTCTGTCCTAAAATTTTTATTTTAAATTGTATGAGTGTTTTGCCTGCATGTATGTCTATACCACATGAATGCCTTCTACTCCGAGGCTGGAAGAATGTCAGATCCCCTGGGATCTGGAGAACTGGAGTTAGACAGTGAGTGCCATGTTGGGTGCTGGGAATCTGACCTGGGTCCTCTGGAAGAGCAGCCAGTGCTCTTCTTTTTTTTTTTTTTTTTTTTTTTTTTTTTTTTTTTTTTTAAAGATTTATTTATTTATTATGTATACAGTGTTCTGTCTGCACATATCCCTGCAGGCCAGAAGAGGGCGCCAGATCTCATTACAGATGGTTGTGAGCCACCATGTGGTTGCTGGGAATTGAACTCAGGACCTTTGGAAGAGCAAGCAGTGCTCTTAACCTCTGAGCCATCTCTCCAGCCCCGCCAGTGCTCTTCTTTGTTGTTGTTTTTCAAGGCAGGGTTTCTCTGTTGTTGTTTTTCAAGGCAGGGTTTCTCTGTGTAGCTCTGGCTGTCCTGGAACTCGCTCTGCAGACCAGGCTGGCCTCAAACTCAGAGATCTGAATGCCTCTGCCTCCCACGTGCTGGGATTAAAGGCATGCGTGTGCCACCACCACTCGGCCCAGCCTGTGTCTCCAGCTCCACTTAAAGACTTGCTGGCATGCTATAATCCTTTCATTAACCCACCTCCTGTCCCAGTGTGCAACGAGTTGGGACAAAAGTCACCTGGTCATCACCTGCCCTGAAAGATGGGTACTTAGAAGAGATGCTGAGGTGAACCCTGAGGCCAAATGATAGTGTACTTGGGGACACCACAATTGGCTGCTGTTTTTCTAATGCCGACAGAATGCTTCCCAGGCAGTACAGGCACTATGCATTGTGGGGTACCCTGGGGAGCCCTAGGAGCTTCTTCGAAGCTGGGGAGTGGAAGCCGAGGGGCCCGCTGATGCTGTTGCCAGAGGCCTCAGCCAGTCCCATGCATCAAAGCTTGCTTTGATGTTGGGGGAGCCCTGCAGAGACCCAGAACCAGGGCAAAGGAGAATGAGCCTTGCATCTCCTCGTTGGCTGAATGAAGGTTTTAGTCCTAGAACAGTGTGAGGCTGGGATATTCACCCCCCAGGAGCCATTAACGATGACACCAACATCATTTCAAATTATTTATTTTTCTGTATCTCAAATCACAGAATAGTATGATACAATTTTTCTCAAGCTCAACATATTCATTTCAGATGTTTCTTCTTTTACATTATGGACAAAGATGTGTGAATTGATGAAAAAAATCACTCAGAGCTTATTAAAACTAATGCTTCCTAGGCACACCCTGAGCTTCTGTCTGGAGTGTGTGCAGGGAGTGATTTAAATTTTAAATTGAAATTCCCTGTCTCTTCTGGGTAGGCGGTCCCTGAGCCACCCACAGAGGAACACTGCTTAAGACTTGTTGGTTACCTACTGGAAGGCATTTCAAAAAACACAGAAATAAGTATACAGAAATAGCTCTTCTATAAAAAATTCCATACAAAAATAATAGTATTTATGCAAAGTTTGAGATACTACAAAATAATATATTAGCCTGTGTACTCAATCTAGGAAGGAAAGTCTCTAATAGGCAGCCGAGATGTGGTTTGCATTTTCTTCTTAACTACTTAGGGCATGACACCAGCGTCTGCTTCATGCAGAAAAATAGCAAAGTCACACTTTTCTGGAGACAGTGGCGAGCAGCACATGAGCAGAGCGAAGCGTCTCCAAATGGAAAAAGAGCCACTGGGTGATGTAGGCCATCTCCTCCCTGCTGTCCAGGTAAAGTGTGGCAGGGTAAACAGGGCACCCAGCTGCTTTACAGCACTGATGGGGGGGGGGGGGGCGGGTGTCCCAGAACTCAGGCTAACAACCAGAGCAGGTGGAGGACTGGTCCCCTTTCTCAGAATGTTGTCCTAGTACTAGTGGAACACAGAACAGCACACTGCGGAGAAGCCACTTTCCTAGAGAAGTAGCTGGATCACTGGAGATACGTAAGTATGACAAAACAAAACTGACCTGAGGAGTGTGGACATGCAAAACTAGAACACTTTTTATATTCGGACGATGTCTGAGGAGGAGCAGTTGGGTTTGAAGTCAAGCATGGCAAAGTGACGGCTTCTGAAAAGTCCAAATAATTTGGTTGGAAACAAGCCACTATGGCCCAGATGGCAACTCCACCTCTCAAGCCCCTACCAATGTCCAGAAGAAATGGCCCTGGCCTGGGGAGGGTCTCTTGTGACTGTGACCATCTGCACCTAGAGTCCTGAGAGGCCCCAAGCTGACAGTGCATGATAGCGCTTGGGAGAAGAGATCCCTCAGGTTCCTCAGAATCTCTTGGCATTTGGCAAGACTGGAGTTGTCTGAATGGCGCCTGGTGAAGGTGTGCTTTACAGTAGGTGACGATACCCTGAGGGAAGTGACCGACTGGACCAGACTGCTACAGAGGCTAAGGGACACTGGGCCATGAAGCTCTGCACACTTCCGTCTCTGAGTGAGTGGGTCCCCAGGGATGCCGTCTCCCTTTCTGAGACCCTAGTAGAGAAGACACAAACCCGGACTCTCCACTGCAATGGCGTCTAAGTAGCTTTCTAAGCAGGGAAGACTAAGATCCACTCTGCTAGGATAAGAGACCAAGGCACTGGTTCTATAGGGGTGTGTGTGTGTGTGTGTGTGTGTGTGTGTGTGTGTGTGTGTGTGTGTGTTTAATATAAAAACCGGGAGCTTTCCTCCTGACTCAACACCACGAGGAGTGGCCACCTACCAGGTCAGTGCTGGCACCTGTCAGGGACTCCTAGGAAACATGACATGCCAAAGTTTTGTCCTTATTTCCCCTCCCCCCCCCTTAGTACATTGTGAACATAGATGAATGCGGGAAGACTGGATCCTACAAACTAACTGTAACTTCAGGTATTTTGCTAGTATGTATGAGGCTACTTCCTGAGGCTTATTATAATTAATAAAGGCTTTTTAGCAATAAAAAGATTACAGGAAGAATTGTCACATTAGGCTCCCCCTTTAGTGTTTGGCTCAAGTATAGGTTAACAAGACATAGGTGAACCGAATTAGTGAGCTGGAAGGCACGTTCTGAGGATCACTTAGGTGACATGCATGTTAGTCTTCAAAAACTATGTATTAATGAGCATGAGTGCTTGGAGGCAATTGCCCAAGGAGCAGAGAAATGGGACACCCCATTGGGAAGCTGGGTCTTAGGTATCTAGTCCGTATTTCACCAAAGCCAGTCCATATGCATCATGAGGATCGTTTTCCATGTGTTCAGTTCACAATCCACATCTTTATGTATCTGCAACTTAATACATGTACATTCTCCATCTCAGATCACTGGCCTGCAGTGTAGGTTCAAGGTCATGAGGCTGACTGAGAACTTTGTGGTTTTGCTTCAGTCCTCACTTGGCCTGTCCATACTACAGCCAGCTAAATTTGATATTTTAACACCCTCCCCGCAAAACAAACCCTGCCCAATGCTTACCACTAAGGAGGAAAATTTCAAAGCCTTCTGCAGCAGATTTAGTGAATAAGGAAGTCCATTTTGTTGGGAAGTGAGCTTATAAAACTGACCAGGCTTCCTGCTCTGGTGTGGTTACAGCACAAGCAGCTGAGGCCATTCCTGCCTGTCATCTGCTTATTCTGTCTGTCTGTCTGTCTGACACACACACACACACCCCTCTGTTTAGGCTGTCTCAGGGCATAAATCACACTGTACTTGTAACAGCTCTGCTGTTTCTGACAAGAAGTTGGTTTAGATTTAGAAAGCAGAATTAGGAAGCTATGCAGGGATACAGTGGGCCATTTCTTCATCTGGATTATCTGATAGGGATATTCTGAGGACAGTTGGGGATTGTCTTCCAAAAATGATACAGTACTGCTACTGCCTTAATTATAAATTTTGCTAATAGGAGTTATCCTCATGCATTCTGGCAAAATGGCAGATTTTTCTCCCTACCACTTCTTCAAAAGAATGAAATAAGAAAGATGCAGAACACGTTGGCCATGAGCCCATTTTCTGGGGGACTGTTTAAGACGGAGTAGGATTCTGTTGAGTCCCTTTCTTCCTATGTAAGGCACAATGCAAACACTGAACAGACAGACTTCCGCAGGGGATAGGTGAAGGGGAGCCTGCTAAGCACTGAGGGCCTGAGCAGCTGTGTAGCCTGGTGAAACTGTTCTTCTGGGAGTGTGCAGGCCCAGAGCCAGCTGCCCATGTGATCAGAAGAGTGAGGACTGACCACAGTGCTGCTATACACTTGAGAAATGGGACCTCAAGAGGGAAAGTCTCTTGAACACATAAGCAGTGTGCCCAGCACCTTTAGGTGCAAGGAACCTGTGTATCCCTCCCACAAAGAAGCCAGATGCTGTGACCACAATTTAACTTTTCCCTTCCATTTTGATTCCGGCATTATGATTTGGTGTTATTGGACCCAGAGGGATATGTTTAGGGGAGATAATGAAGACCAGAGTTCATCCTTTTCAACATCTCAATTTAGGCTCTTCCCTTTTTTCTTCCCCCCAACATGATCTCATTTTGTAGCCCTAGCTGGCTTCAAACCTCTGGGGACCCTTTTGCCTATGTAGGATTACAAGTAAGTGTTACTACTCTCGGTTCAGCCTACTTTTTCCCCAGGTAAAGTGTCACACCAGCAGCAACTGATGACCACAGCGGTACGATCTCAGATGTCCTCAGACGTACATAACAGAGGTACAGGACCACTCTTGACAACACAGTGGTAGCTAGGATGGCCAAAGGTGGGGCACACAAAGACTGAGAAGACTGAATCTTTGGTTGTCCCACTCCAGACAAGGATCTCTTGTAGCCCAGACTGGCCTTGAACTCAGTATGTAGCCAAGGTTGACATTTAAGTCCTAACCTTTCTGCCTCCATTTCCCAAATGCTGGCGTTAGAGACATACAACATGCCCAGCAGGATTGCCCTTTTAAAGCCCGTGTTCTGTCAATGTAAAGCATACAGCAGCAGGGATGAGATAAACTGGAAAGTTCCTTGAGAACTCTTGCAACGATTATGCTGCCTGGTAAAGGGTGTAATGCATGCATTTGCTTTAAGTTCTGAAACATCTTAGGACCCCAGTAGCTCAATATTTTGAAGATTAAAAAAGCAACTGTTACCTTTGACCTCTCCAGGTCTCTGCTAGGCTCCCTTAAGTATAGACAGACATGGTAGTGATAAAAGGAGGTAGCCCCTGTTGCATTCTGGATCACTTTGTTCTGACAGCCTAAGATGTATGTTCTAGAACTCATGCCAACACAAAACTCTGAAACAGGACAGGACCTTTGTGCCCCTTGAACCTCGGGCTTGTACTACAGCTTCCTTCTGACACAGAGTTTCCTCTCAAAGGCATCTGAGCTGGACCTGTGCACTCCTATCAGGGTTAATGACCTCAGAACATGTAAGGCAACCAAAGCGTTTCCTTAAAAAAAAAGCTCAAGCTTCCTGCACAGGACTGAAAAGAGCAGCATTTGAGATTGCACCTGGTGCGGGACCCACAGAAGCCAGAGACACAGGATCAGACAAACCCATGTGACTAGAGCTGGTTTCAGATGGATTCTCCTACCATTCCCTCCCCTCCCCGCTTCAAGGTCTTATGTGTTGATAAGTTGGGTTTGGCTTGGCAGTGGATACCCGCCGCTCCCCTACTGAGAGGAGCAGAAATCACAGACATACTGTAGTAGTCTCATGGCATCTTTGGCTTTGAAACCACATATGACACATCACGCTAGCATGGATGCAGTCAACTGGAGTGTTCAAGGTTTTAACAAAAACACTGAATATTGAGTTAGTTTGAAATGCAATTTACCCAGGAATAAATCTGATAAGGTCATTTTGATAATTAAAATATGAAAAAGATAACATGTATAAGAGAACAATGATGTTCATATTCTTGAAATAAAGACAAAAGTAATGACATTTGGTTCATTTTCACAAATTGCACATGGGTAAAATCATACAGTACTGCAGACAGCTATAGACAAGCAATTTGGTCAAAGAATTTGCTTCTTTGTTTCATTGTGAATTAAAAAGCTGTATGAAATGCATAGCTTTGATTAAAACTATAAATACAGTTTCCCTCTCAGTAAAACTCCAAATTTAGAATGCTGGCAAAAGGCAGTGCTGGCGAGGTTTGTAATGCACATGGAAATGCTATTCTATTTTGGCTTCCAGAAGGAGCCCTAGAAACTCCTATGCACCAATGCATTGACAAACGGTCACTTCAGTTTACCGTAAATGATTCTAAACGTCATCTAGGTACTTAAAAGTTAGTTAGCGCTCTCTCCCTTCTAGAAGCTAAGGCAGCAGATGCATGAAACACCTCAGCTAGACTTCCGACTAGCTCAGCAGTTCATCTGCGCTCCCCAGGCCACAAGGACTGCAATCTACATCCCTCACCTTACACCCACTGGGACATTCAAGATCACTCCTGCCTATGTAAGACAGCCCAACAAGGGAGAGAACACCATCACTGCGTACTGTTCCCGGCAGCAATCTCAAGTCTAAATGCTCCCACACTGTGGGGTCTTCAAACCCACCTCCCTGAAAACAAACTTCATTCACTGCCGTTCTCTCTGCAGAAAGCATGCTTTGTTGGCAATGAAGCCACTGCTGTGCTGCTCAGTTTTCATCCACGCTAGGTTAACTTTCATTTCAATCATCTCGGCCTTCATGGACTTTGCTTATTGTGTTTCTCTAGTTCTCACTAAACACAAATGCAAACAAAGGCAAAGACGGAAGCAATCATTTCAAAACACAAGAGCTCACACTAAAGACACACATGAGCATCAATATTAAAACATGAGTTTTCTCCTGTCTTTATTCTGGGGAGGAGGAATCTTCCTCCTCATCTTCCTCATCTTCCTCGTTGAATGAACAGGGGGTCTCGCCACGGGACTCGGAGCAGTGAGAGGCCGCACTGCTGGACTGGTGACTGTCTGGGGCAGGGAACTGCCCGGTTGCTAAGGCCACTTCAGCATCCAAGCACAAGCCTTGGCTTACACTGGTGAGTAAGTTGGAACACACAGGTTCGTTAATGCAGGGCGGACATTTCTTTTCTTTTTGCACAGACAAGAATAAAAACAGGAAGGAGGTCCAGTGGGGGGACCTACAAACCTAACCCACCTGCTGCAGCAGCACCACCTCCCTAGCTCTCCACAGGAGAGGCAGCTCTCTGTGGCTTGCTTTTCTCACCTTGAAAACAATACATACCTTGACTGGGGCATGGTGGCATTAGTGGTCAGGTCTAGATTTGAAACTGATTGGGTAGAGTTCAAAAGGAGTCCCTGATTTAACCAAGAAGGTCCTGTAGAGATATCTGTAAGATAAAACAAACACACAAAAAAAAAAAAAAGAAAGAAAGAAAGAAAGAAAGAAAGAAAATGTGGTCTCTGAACTCTGTGGCTCCTCTGCTGTGGTCTGAAGTAAGCATGGGTTATGTCTTGGTATAGCTGGACAGTTCTCTTGCCCTGTGAAGAACCTGGTGTTCTTCATCATTTTAGGGGGTGGGGTGGGGGCACAAATAAATTCTTGAACAAGAATGGAAAGAATACAGGAAGGCAGACTTCAGGGAGAAAGAATTCCAAGTAAAACTATCACTGACTCCTTTTAGTTGAATGGTTCTTTTTTTTCAAGACTTAGCTTATTATTTTTAAATCATGTATATGTGTGTTTGTGAAAGCCTAAGTGGGAGTATATGTACATGAGGTGCCCATGGAGGAAAGAAATGTTGGACTGTCCTGCCGCAGAGCTGTGAGCTGCCCAACAGGAACTGAACTCATGTCTTCCGCAAGGGCAGTATGCACTCTTAACTACTGGGCTGTCCTCTAGCCTTTTTCTTTATGGAAGACCTGACAAGGTAGCCTACTGGGTATAGTAAGCATGTGGTCAGAATGTGGACTATCTTGCACATCTGGTGTCCTTACCATGAAAGACTATGACTGTGAAATTAACAGCCAAAGCCAGGATTGGATAGACACAACAATCAGGAATGCCTTAGAACACACAGCTTATGGATCATGCCCCCACTCTTGTCACCCTTCCCTCACCCTCACATTGTGCACATGGATGGTGTGTGCACACATGTGTGCAGATGCGTTGCTGAGACAGGGTCTCTCGATAAGACTCGGGGCTTGCTGGTCAGGGTAGGCCAGCAGGCCAGCAAGCCCCAGGGACCCTCCCAGCTGTGTCCCTTGGGTTGGGTACACTCCTACAGCAGCACACCTGGCTTTTCCCACAGGGGCTGGAGACTGACTACAGTTGGTCTCGTGCTTACACAGCAAGCACGTCACCAGCTGCACCAGCTCCCCAGCCCATGGCTCTGCCTTTTTAGGTCTACTCGGGTGAACTCACTACAGTTGCTCATCAGTGATCTATGGTTTGTCCTGACTAGGTTCGCCTCCACCCCCACCTTGGGTGTCATTTGCTTTACAATTCAAAATAGTCTTATTTTAAAAGGTGTGCTTTCAATGTGGTAATTTTTATAATGCAGTCATTTTTTAAAATTTATTTTATGGGTATGGGTATTTTGCCTGCATGCAGATCTGTGTACCAGTTTCATGCCTAGTTCCCATGGAGGCCAAAAGAAGGCATTAGATTCATTGGAACTCAAGTTACAGATGGTTGTAAGGTACCATGTGGGTGCTGGGAACTGAACCTGGGTCCTCTGGAAGAGCAGCCCATGCTCTTAACTGCTGAGCCATCTCTCCAGGTCTGCAATCATGGTTTGAGTAAAGGTGAGACAGACATGAGGTGTTTCAGCTCGCAGGAAACCAGAAGGGCATGTCCTGGCATCTCCTTTTCCCTGCACATGCCATGCTTCTCCCCTCACAGCAGACCCGTTCTTACTGCACTGGTCCTTGTAGGATGCCCCTGTCTAGAATGTTAGCTCAGAGAAAACTGTAACCTGAATGTCTAGGGACCTCAGAATTAATGAATGAACGTATATAGCTTCTCTCAACACTGACTTTTCTTTTTCAGTTTTTCGAGACAGGGTTTTCCCATGTAACAGCCCCACTTGTCCTGGAACTCATTCTGTAGACCAGGCTGGTCTTGAATTCACAGAGATCCACCTGCCTCTGCTTCCCAAGGGCTGGGATTAAAGGCGTGTGTCACCACGCCTGGCCAACACTGACTTTAATAGACAGTAAAAGCTTTAGAAACACAGTATTAAAAAAAGATCTCACATCACTGGGTCTTTCTGTATACTGTGAATATGTGTGGCTCCCATGGGATAATATATAAAGCTGCTTTGGCCTATGGCAAGAAAGCTTACAGCCAGGCAGGAAATCCAAGAAGATATACAGAGGGAAGGAGGGTAGAGTTGGGAGAGATGGGAACCAGCCGCGCGCAAGGAGCAACAAATGCATGCAGACCGGTAATGCCACGGCCACATGGCAATATATAGATTAATAGAAATGGGTTGAGTTATAAGAGCTAGCTAGCAAGAACCTTGAGCCATACAGTTTGTAATTGATATAAGCCTCTGAGTAATTATTTTATAAGCAGCTGCAGGACCACAGGTAAGAGAGATTTGTCTGGACCTTGGGGCCGGGTAGGACTGGAGAAACTTCCATCTACAACTGGGCATGGTGGTGCCCACCTTTAATCCCAGCACTTGGGAGGTATAGGAGGCAGATCTCTCAGTTTGAGGGTATCCTGGTCTACAAAGCCAGGGTTACAAAGAGAAAACCTATCTTGGGGTGGGGTGGGGCCCTCACATTATAAGGCAAACCCCAATGCATACTCAGAAAATAGAGTTTGTTTAAATAAGCTTTTATTGTACTTTTAAATGTACACTCCCTTTCACTATTTTTATTTCTGTTGACCTGTGTGTGGTGAGGTCAGAGGGCAGTTGACCCGTGTGTGGTGAGGTCAGAGGACAGTTGACCCGTGTGTGGTGAGGTCAGAGGACAGTTGACCCGTGTGAGGTGAGGTCAGAGGACAGTTGACCCGTGTGTGGTGAGGTCAGAGGGCAGTTGACCCGTGTGTGGTGAGGTCAGAGGGCAGTTGACCCGTGTGTGGTGAGGTCAGAGGGCAGTTGACCCGTGTGTGGTGAGGTCAGAGGACAGTTGACCCGTGTGTGGTGAGGTCAGAGGACAGTTGACCCGTGTGTGGTGAGGTCAGAGGGCAGTTGACCCGTGTGTGGTGAGGTCAGAGGACAGCTGACCCGTGTGTGGTGAGGTCAGAGGGCAGTTGACCCGTGTGTGGTGAGGTCAGAGGACAGCTGACCCGTGTGAGGTGAGGTCAGAGGGCAGTTGACCCGTGTGAGGTCAGAGGACAACTTGAGCAGTTGGCTCTCTCCTTCCAACATGTAGGTCCTGGAGATCAAACTCAGGTCGCCAGGCTTGGCAGCAGACATTTACCCACCAAACCATCCTGGCAGCCCTTGAACTTGTGTGTGGGGGGGTATGTGCGTGCCATGGCATGCTTGTGGAAGTCAGCGGACTCTGGGAGTTGGCTCCTGCCGTCCAGCTGGCTGAGGCAGGGTCTTTTGTTTCTGTTGCTGCACGGCATGCTCGCAGCTGCTCTGTGAACCTCTGGCCAATCTGTCTCTACTCCCTCCTCCCACTGCAGGAATCCCGAGATAAAGATGCACACTATCCCATTCGGCTTTTTGCGTGGGTTTCGAGGATGACCCTCAGGTCCAGCAGTGCTCCTGCCCCCTCAGACATCTCCCCACCCCCTTTACTGTATTATTTTTGTAATTATTGTGCAAAAACCATGGACCTGTATGTACTAAGAATTCTGTCTAGCCACCGAGAGACTGTTCCCGTACACTAAATGACTACATTAACTTTAGATTGGCCTCCTGAGCTCTTTTCTTCACAAGCTAAGGCAGCTGTGAGGAAAAAAAAAAAAAAAGACTTCAATTCTAAGAAGAATAGCAGATTGTGAATACATTTAATAAGAACAAGTCTGAACAAGATGAAATTCAGACCTGGAATCCTGTGCTGAATATGAATTGGTATACAGAACTGTGGAAACCCTCTGCTGGGTCACAGCTATTCAGCTGTGAGCATTACAGACTGTATCTCTTCTCTACAATGGGTCTGAAAAGGCCACATTTCTTTCACATTATTACAGGCTCTGCACAGTGGTTCTCACACTCTTGTCCAAGGGCCATTCCCTCCCTTTCACACTAAAGGCACATGTCCCTTTGAACTGACAGGAAAATCTGTAGCCCAGTCTGCAAATGAGGTCAAAAAGAGATCAAACCAGAGCCTGCTAATCGCCCTGAACCTTTCCATTGGGAATAAGTGAAAAAAACTTCTGGTGATTTATTGAGTAAGCCCTTTATTCAGACACTGCTGGACTTCCAGTTCAATGAGGCTAATGAAACAGCAAGATGCATGCCAGAGACCATGGAGCAAAGGGAGCAGGAGCAGTGCATGGGGGGGGGATCAGTGAGGAGGAGCAAAGGGAGCAGGAGCAGTGCATGGGGGGGGTCAGTGAGGAGGAGCAAAGGGAGCAGGAGCAGTGCATGGGGGGGTGAGTGAGGAGGAGCAAAGGGAACAGTGCATGGGGGGGGATCAGTGAGGAGGAGCAAAGGGAGCAGGAGCAGTGCATGGGGGGGGATCAGTGAGGAGGAGCAAAGGGAGCAGGAGCAGTGCATGGGGGGGGTCAGTGAGGAGGAGCAAAGGGAGCAGGAGCAGTGCATGGGGGGGTGAGTGAGGAGGAGCAAAGGGAGCAGTGCATGGGGGGGTCAGTGAGGAGGAGCAAAGGGAGCAGGAGCAGTGCATGGGGGGGGGATCAGTGAGGAGGAGCAAAGGGAGCAGGAGCAGTGCATGGGGGGGGGTCAGTGAGGAGGAGCAAAGGGAGCAGGAGCAGTGCATGGGGGGGGTCAGTGAGGAGGAGCAAAGGGAGCAGGAGCAGTGCATGGGGGGGGATCAGTGAGGAGGAGCAAAGGGAGCAGGAGCAGTGCATGGGGGGGTCAGTGAGGAGGAGCAAAGGGAGCAGGAGCAGTGCATGGGGGGGTCAGTGAGGAGGAGCAAAGGGAGCAGTGCATGGGGGGGGTCAGTGAGGAGGAGCAAAGGGAGCAGGAGCAGTGCATGGGGGGGATCAGTGAGGAGGAGCAAAGGGAGCAGTGCATGGGGGGGGAGTGAGGAGGAGCAAAGGGAGCAGTGCATGGGGGGGTCAGTGAGGAGGAGCAAAGGGAGCAGTGCATGGGGGGGGTCAGTGAGGAGGAGCAAAGGGAGCAGGAGCAGTGCATGGGGGGGGGTCAGTGAGGAGGAGCAAAGGGAGCAGTGCATGGGGGGGATCAGTGAGGAGGAGCAAAGGGAGCAGGAGCAGTGCATGGGGGGGGTCAGTGAGGAGGAGCAAAGGGAGCAGGAGCAGTGCATGGGGGGGATCAGTGAGGAGGAGCAAAGGGAGCAGGAGCAGTGCATGGGGGGGGTCAGTGAGGAGGAGCAAAGGGAGCAGGAGCAGTGCATGGGGGGGGGTCAGTGAGGAGGAGCAAAGGGAGCAGGAGCAGTGCATGGGGGGTCAGTGAGGAGGAAAAGGGAGCAGGAGCAGTGCATGGGGGGGTCAGTGAGGAGGAGCAAAGGGAGCAGGAGCAGTGCATGGGGGGGGTCAGTGAGGAGGAGCAAAGGGAGCAGTGCATGGGGGGGATCAGTGAGGAGGAGCAAAGGGAGCAGGAGCAGTGCATGGGGGGGGTCAGTGAGGAGGAGCAAAGGGAGCAGGAGCAGTGCATGGGGGGGGTCAGTGAGGAGGAGCAAAGGGAGCAGTGCATGGGGGGGATCAGTGAGGAGGAAAAGGGAGCAGGAGCAGTGCATGGGGGGGGGATCAGCAAGGTGTAAACTGCCTTGGTCATGGTGTTTTATCACAGCAACAGAAAATTAAGACATTTCTGCTCCGTGAATTCCGATCTACTGAATAGATAAACACAGCATTCTATTAAAGTGAGGTGAGGTATGTGTTTTATGATATTTTGTTTGTGTTCTGACAAATAAAGCTTGTTTGGAGATCAGAGAAGCAGAGCAGCCAGCCACCAGACTGAATGGGGAGATCCTGTCTCCACCCACCTTATATTCCTGTCTCCACCTCCTGAGTGCTGGGATTAAAGGTGTGAGCCACCACTGACTGACTGGCTGTTTCTCTTTAGGTTGATTCAATCTCCTATAGCCCAGGGTGGCCTTAACTCCTGATCTTCCTGCTTCCTTCCAAGTGCTGGGATTAAAGGTGTGTGCCCCCGCTGCCTGGCCTCTATGCTTAACTAGTGGCTAGCTCTGCCCTCTGATCTCCAGGTGAGCTTTATTTATCAGAGCACAAATAAAAATCATAAAACAGGTACATCTATTTTTTTTTTTTTTGTAAACTACTCTAAGGTCTCCTAAGAGAGAGAATTACAAACAAAACCCAAAACCAAACTTCTATCAATCTTTCATTTAAAAGCTTTATAAGACTCTACTTAAACACTCAGAATTACAGAGAAAATACATCATTGTAGACCTAGACTTAGTGATGAGTCAGCCATGTTTTTGTATAATATATATTGTATAGATGTTAAGTTTGTAATCCTCTAAAAATCACCAATTTTTGAAAAAACAAAAGTCACAAGTTTATTATATAAAGTATCAAAGAACTCCCCGAAGTGAAGCTAGGACTGATTCTGGGAGAATGTTTACCAAGTGAGTCTGACGCCATCAGGAGTGTGTCAGCATCTCCAGCATACCTGTGATATAGCCTTCCAAAGCCTTCGGAACCAGCGACTTGGCAATTTTCAGGTTTTCCAGAGAGCATTTGCCTAACTCCAGACCAAAGGACATTCCCATCCGCTTCAGTACTTCTATGTCATCATGGATCTCAAAGGTGTTATCAAAATTAAAAAGGTATTCAAATCTGCAAAATAAGGCAAGGACGGGGAGGGCAAGTGAGCCGGCTCTGCAGGTGCGTGCCAGACGCCAGCCCTGACGACTTGAGTTTAGTTCCCCAGATCTCAATCTCGCCCTCGCCCTCTCCCTCTCCCTCTCCCTCTCTCTCCCTGATGACTTGAGTTTAGTTCCCCAGATCTCAATCTCGCTCTCGCCCTCTCCCTCTCCCTCTCCCTCTCTCTCCCTGATGACTTGAGTTTAGTTCCCCAGATCTCAATCTCGCTCTCGCCCTCTCCCTCTCCCTCTCTCTCCCTGATAACTTGAGTTTAGTTCCCCAGATCTCAATCTCGCTCTCGCCCTCTCCCTCTCCCTCCCTCCCTCTCTCTCTCTCTCTCTCTCTCTCTCTCTCTCTCTCTCTCTCTCTCTCACACACACACACACACACACACACACACACACACACACACACACACGCATCCCTAAATACATAAATTTAATAATTATTTTTAAAAAAGAAATAAAGGAGGCCAGGTGGTGGTAGTGCATGCTTTTAATCCCAGCATCCAGGAGACAGAGGCAGGCAGATCTCTGTGTTCAAGTCCAGCCTTGTCTACAAGAGCAAGTACCAGGACAAGCCAGGGCTACATAGAGAAACCCTGTCTCAACGAAACAAAACAACCCAAAAAGCAAACAAAAGTGAAGGAAAAGAAAGGAAGTATGGGGTTTGGTGCCACAGAGGAGCTATGAATGGCCTGACAACCTGTGCCTCGCTTCTTTAATTTACTTATTGTGGTCTTCAGTAGACTGGCTTGTTAGCCTCAAGGAAACAGAGTGAATGCCCAATTAGTTTCCCTGAGTCAACAGCTAGCCACACATACTCAAGTCAATCCTAAAAGCTTTCTCCTTTGTTTGGAGATGAGGTTGTGCCACACTGCACAGTTTGGTCTGAACTCTTGGACTCAGGGATCCTTTTAGGTAGTTGGGACTTCAGGCACTTGAACTGAGCATACTTGAATTAAATGGAAGACAATTTTAACAAGGTGAACCCAGCCAACTCCTGTCTTGTGGAGCTAAGAATAATATCTTAAGCAAGTGTCACAGAGCTCAGTATGGTGGTTCATGCCTGTAATGCCATTACTTGGAAGGTTACAGCAGGATGATTCCTATGAGTTTAAAGCCATCTTTAAGGTTACAAAAGTTCTAGTCCAGCCTAGTCTATGGAGTGAGAATCTATCACAAGTAAAAGAACCACATATAAAGTACATAGCACCTATCAGAATGTTCTTGAAAAGTAGTCAGTTTAGATGTCTAGCTACACAGCACACCCAGAAGCAAAGAAAGGGCCAGCAAGAAGCAGCCTAAGCTTGACCCCAGCAAATACTCTGTGGAAGGGCAGATCTTAGTCCTTCTAGCCAGGCCTGAGGCCTCCATGCACAGGCCTCAGTTCTGGACTGTTTGTTCTGGTACAGGTTCTGAATAATAGTGGGTTTTAACTTGTCACGGTAAAAATGTGTAATGTTGAGACTTACAGTACATCTTAAACCAGGGCAAAACTTACACTTACAGCAAGAAGCTGAAGTCTGAGTCTGAATAAAGTATATTAACAAGCTCACAATTAACTGGAAGTGGGTACTTGCCAGAGGGATGATTTCAGGCATTTTTACATGCAGATGGCTTTATAAAGTTAATTTCATTGTGGGAAAGCCTCCTGGCTAATTAAGGGTAAGATTGCTTCACCAAAGTAACTGACAGACAAGATTACGGACCTACCTCAAATAACAAGTGTGTACAAGCTGCTCCATGAAGGGATGCCAGGCAAGGCATGAGTCAGTGACCACCCAAGGCACAGAACCAAAACAGATCAGCCTGGGTGCACAGTGTCCATAAACTGCTAAGGTCAATGGTTCCAAATTTTCCTGACATTTTTTAATTCTTCAAAATTTATTTATTTAGGCAGGTCTCTCTTATGCAGTTCTCCTAGCTGGCCAATGCTGGCCGACTCATAGCAACCCTTCTGCTCAACTTCCAAGTACTGGGTTTACAGGTTATGTACTACATGTTCAGTTGTGGAAGCCCTTTAACCTAAGAAGAGAATGTTACAGTCCCTCATAAAAAGAAGAGACTAACTGTAAGAGTAATTACAGCATGACATTTATAGGTCACTTCCGAAGATGTTAATCACTTTGAAGACGTCTTATGATATGTTGATAGTCCTCTTAGACACGTTTCTGTTATGATAATTGATAGTCCTCTTAGACATAGGTTTCTGTAGCGTCTATGGATGTGAATAACTCTGTCATGTAACATTTTATTGGACTAGATATTGTGTAAATGTATCTATAGTTTTTATAAATTGGCAAAATAAATAACTGATCTTAATTTTTTAGTTCTTGAATTCTTACACACTATTTCAGTGTGTGTGTACTATGGAACATGTGTGGAGGCCAATGAACAAGTTTTTAGAGTTGGTTGTCTCCTTCTACCAGTGTGGGTTTTGAAGATCAGAATCAGGTCATCAGGTTTGGCAGCAAGTACTTTTATCACTGAGCCATTTTGCAGGCCCTAACTTTTATTTCTGTGGAGGAAGGAATGAGATCTCAGAGAGGCTAAGAAATTTAAAGAGTGAAAACTGGCCGGGCGGTGGTGGCGCACGCCTTTAATCCCAGCACTCGGGAGGCAGAGCCAGGCGGATCTCTGTGAGTTCGAGGCCAGTCTGGGCTACCAAGTGAGTTCCAGGAGAGGCGCAAAGCTACACAGAGAAACCCTGTCTCAAAAAACCAAAAAAAAAAAAAGAGTGAAAACTGCTTGTCCCTAAGAACAGCAACTAGCACTTATAAAATGCTGGAACAAACGAGATCTTTAAGAATTATCTCATTCATCCTCACAAGGCTGTAAACAGAGCTCCATGGAGCAGGCAGGGAAAGGAGCTCGAATCCACAGCCGGAAACCTTCTTGTTCTCTATGCACCTCTAACTTCCTCATGAAAGGAGCATAAGCTACAACGAATGCTCTACTTTGAAAAGTGCAACTTCATATTTGCTAAAGTGAATTGTGTCACTTTTATTTAAATTGTTTAAAAGATTTACGTGTTCACATGTGTGGTGGCCAGATGAGGACATTCAGTGTCCTCCTCTATCACTCTCCAAGTTTTTTGAGACAGGTTCTCTCACTGAACCTGACGTTCACTGTTTGAGCTAGGATGGCTGGGCACGCCCTAGTGAACTCCCCGCACTGTTATCATTACCCTGTGCCCCCCCCCCCTCTGCCCCCAGCTAGGGTTACAGGAAAGCATGGCACACCCAGGGTTACGTGGGCGGGAGATCCAAACTCAGGACTCTGCTTTTACAGCAAGCACCTTTCTCACTGCCATCTCCCCAGGATTTTAGGGGTCATTTGTTCATTAATTCACTTATTCATTCAAAGCAGCGGGTGTTATAGCAGACACCCTTTAACCTCAGCATGTGGGAAGTGCTGGAGGAAGATGAAATCAACGCCATCTATGGCTTCATAGTAAGTTAGAGGACAGCCTGGGCCAAGAGACCCCTTCTCAAACGAAAACCCAAATAAATAACAAACAGAAGCATACTTAAGTGCGATATAAGAAATGAGACACTGCTTTCATGTCACATACTGGTCTGACATATTTTCATAAGAAACTGAAACAGTGACTCACCAATGAACCAACTTCCTCCTGGGCCCTCAGTGATGGTCTCACTTACTGCAGTTCCTCGCTCAGTGACTACACAGTGTCACACATGACAGCTTGGGCCCAGGTACCACCACACATGTCACAGGCAAGCTTGATGTGGGGTAAGGGACTGTGAATGGTACATGACGGAGCTCATTCTTGCTGAAAACAGCACCCATGTCTGAGGACACATACCCCATGGAAGCCAGTCTTACAGGGCTGTGGACAATGGAAGAGCGTTGACGGAAGGCAGCCCTGTCCCCTCCCCTAGTTCCCTACTCACTTGTCACTGGAGATGCTGCAGTCTATGACTGTTTTCCTGCTTGTATTAATGATTATAAATGGCAGCTGAATGGTGGAATTCAGAGCTGGAGGGCCCTGGTTTTGTTGTTCATTTTGTCGATTTCTCTGTACCAGGTTTTTAAAAGCAATTTGCTGTAATGTTCAATAAACAAAAGGTGGTCGTTTAATATAAAAAAGTGACTTGGAATGTAAATGAATTAACCTAACACATTTTAAATATCTATTTCAAAATTAGAGTATTTAAACAGGCAGCCCATCTATACTAGCAAATAAAAATGTTAAACATGATAAAAAAAATTACAGTGATTAAGGTCAATAAACACATTTCAAGAGTAAAACACATATTTTTTTTTCAAGACACGGTTTCTCTGTGAAGCCCTGGCTATCCTCGAACTCAGAGATCCACCTGCCTCTGCCTCCCAAGTGCTGGGATTAAAGGCGTGAGACACCACATCTGGCAAAACACATATATTTTGATGATGTCTAACTAAGGTAAATATTGGGGCCTCTGGTTTCCATTTCAAAGAGAAACAGGCTCTCGGAGATACAGGAGAGGCCAGCAGCACAGGCAACAGCTCTCTTTAGAGTGACCCCAAGTAAGTTTAGGCTCAACTCACCTCATACAACATCCTCAGAGGTCAGGGGAAATACACCTCATTTTTTCTATCTGGTCCAGAGATACACAGTTCCTTTAAATTAGACCTATTCTCATGATGACATCTGGGACACACAACAGGAAACAGACAGAAGCAGCACTGCCCTGCTGGTTGCAGAAAGGTGGGTTCCCAGCCCTTGCAGACGTTCTGAATCCCTGCCACAGTGCTTTCTAAGGTTTGCATCGCTCAGAACCTTCCCTCAGAGTACCTCTGGAATCCCCAACTTGACACTTCCTGAGAGGAAACTGAGGCTCAGTACAAAGAATAAAATATATTAAGATCTGAACTTTATCACTGCTCATTATAATTACTACTCAAAAGATAAAGAAAGTGACCTTAATATTAATCAGGCAAGATGGCTAGTTTAAAAAAAAAATTAGGCTGCCTCTCTTTTATCTGCTCATGAAACAATGGTTTTCAAAACTCCCAAATTCACCTTACTTTAAAAAAAAAAAATCTTAGTAACCTATGTTCAGAATTGTTTCACTTCAGGTTTGGGGCCTTACTAAAATTTGATTTACAAAATTATCTTAAAATGGCTGGTTTCTGTCTCTTTAGAAAATAAACATTGTCTCATAAAATTAATTATTCAGAAGGAACACCAATTTACTCTAGTATTAACTGTCCAATATCCAATGTCAACTACTATCAAAACTACCACTATCACTATGATTATCAAATTTAAGTTTTATTTCTTTGTTATTTTCTGTTCCCCAAAAACAAAAGTAGGGGGCTGGAAAAATGGCTCAGTGGTTAAGAGCATTGGTTGCTTTTCCAGAGGACCCGGGTTCAGTTCCCAGCACCCACATGGCAGCTCACAACGGTCTGTAACTCCAGGCCCAGAGGATCAAGCGCCCTCACACAGATGTACACGCAGGCAAAACACCAATGCACATGAAATAAATAAATACAAAAACAAAAAAACCCAAAAGTAGTTTACATGCATTCCTCAACTGGATGTAAACATCCAGAGAAAACGTGCTGCAATTGGAAGTGAGAAAAAGCGTGAAGTGGTCAAATACATCTCCATAACGTCTCTTCCCTTCTAGAACACAGCTTTGAGTGATGGTCAGAAGTGACTGACTGACAGACTGATTTATGGGTAAGTTCCAGGCTGATCTCTAACTTGCTGTGTAGCTAAGGATCATCTTCAATTCCTGATCCTTCTGCCTCTACTTCCCAAGTGCTGGGAGTACAGACCTGCCATCATGTCCTGTGAGAACACAGCTTTTTAGACTGTGGGTTGAGATCCCATATGAAATTATGTAAATAAATGTGTGAGTTACAAAAAAAGTTGGCAACAGTAAAAGGTTTCTGTATTATAATGACAAAAAGTTAATTCAAAGTCTACCGCCCCATCAATCTATAGTGTTTCAGTGCTCACTTGTGTTGTAGTGCGTAATATAACTGAAGCTTGGGTTCACAAAACACAACCTGGCCACTCTGCACTGTTTATGCCCTCACACCATGCAGCAGTGAGCAATCACTGCCTGGAAGACCTCAGTTAAGACGACTGTATAACATGAATTGCAGTGTTTTTACTCTACAAAGATTCCTGCTCTTGTAGAAAGTGTAATCAATTATGGAAAACAAAGACTTGTAGTATTTTTCTACCATCATTCCTTAGCATATAGATATAAAATTAGTTTATCTTTGGATTAAATTGTGTTAGACTGCTTGATTTTAAAAATGGTTGCTTGAGCTGCACATGATGGTACACATATTAAATTCCAGCACTTGGGAGGCAGAGGCAGACAGATCTCTGTGAGTTTAAGGCCAGACTTGTCTACAAAAGTGAGTTCTAGGACAGGCAGAGGCTATGTAGAGACCCTGTCTCAAAACAACAACAATAACAAAGTTTTTTGAGATTAATACATCATTAAATTAATTCTGTCTTGAGATTAGGACAGAATTTTAGTAATTTTTGTTATGTTCTAAACATACTTCTACCGTGTGTGATGTAATTATACCAAGTGACATTCTCAACACTGACAATTACAAAATCAAAATAACAACTCTGGAAGATGTCGAAAATACTTTCTGACCTACAGTATCAAGTACTTGGCCAAACTTTAACTCCTTAAAAACTTTGAAATTTATTGCTCTTATTGTATGTGTGTGAAGATCCCAGGGCAACCTCGGGGAGTTGGTTCTCTCCTTCCCCTACTGTGGTATTTATTCTAGGGACTGACCTCGGTCCAGCAGATTTACGTTCACAGAGTCTCTACCCACTAACTATTGTGCTGGCCTCAACTGTTATGTGAAACTAGAAGATTTACATTCACAGAGTCTCTACCTACTCACTATGGTGCTGGCCTCAACTGTTATGTAAAACTAAGAGCCACAGTCATCATGAGATTGTAAATCTGCTTCTGTCTTTAATAAATGGTAAAATTATTTTCTAACACAGAATTATCTTGAAATAAATTTATTTATGGTTGATTTGTATACCTATATACTCATGTCATATCAGATTCCTAAGACTAAAAGAAGTCATTCAGTGGAAAGAATTGAACGAGACCACATTATCTTGGGAGATGTTCTGACACTGTACTGATCTTTGTGGCCCTCATGCTGTGGGAAAGTGTAATATATGGAGGAGTATAAACAGCAATAAGGAAGAGTCCCTATATACTTACAACTCACTTTTTAACAGCATTAAAATTGTCGTAGATGATGAAAGCAGTTACAACATACTGTTATTGTAGTCTTGTTTGTTTTTACAATGCTGGAGATTGAACCAAAGGCCTTGTTCTCACCAGGCAAGCACTTCTCCACTGAGTTACATTCCTAACCAATACTGTTATTTTAATAGTAAAAATAAGTCACCTCCTATGTACTGGGGACTGATTTCCTTATTTGCTGCCCTTTTATTGATTCCCTTTGGCTTTTTGTTCTTTTCAGACTCAGTATCATCTGTTCCAGAGGCTGAACAGTTTTATTAAGTGTGTTCCTTATGGAAAGGCTTAAAGGCAGGAAAGGACAAGTATGTACATAAAAGTAAGGCACGAGTTATCTATAGGTATAATGTAGTCAAACTACTTATCTCAATTGTCAGCTTGGTGGGAATCACCTGAGATGGACTTCTGGGCATGCCTGTGTGGGACTGTCTCGACAATAGTAAGTGACATGGTGCTCCAGCTACTTTCTGTTGCTGTGAGAAAAGACTCTGACCAAAAGCAGCTCAGGGAAGGAAAGGGTTTATTTCAAGTTACAGTCTCTCACTCTGTGAGCTTAACAGAAACTTGAAGCAGAAACCATGGAGGGACACTTGCTGGCTCGCTTGCAGATCCACACTTAGCTTTCTTATACAGTCCCAGACCACCTGTCCAGGGAATGGTTCCATCCACAGTGGGCTGGACTCTCCTACATCAATTCACAATCATGAGAATCCCTAACAGACATGCCCAGATGCCATCTGATCTGGGAAATCCTTTGAGATTCCTTTCGTAGAAGACTCTAGGCTGCGTCAGGTTGATAGTTAAATCTAACTAGGGCATGTGAGAAAAGTAACTAACATACAACGATAAAAGGGAGGTGGTGGCATGTAGGTAATAGTCAACCTGTGTCACATGAACAATAAGTTGTGACATCTTAGGAAAAGTCAAACCAGCTTAGCCACACAAACAAAATTAATGTACAGGGACATCTTGCATAATTTATTTTCTATGACTATTTTGTAAATCTCATTTGATAAAAGGAATAAAAATGAACCATTAAGAGGAACTAAGCTGTATGACTACAGAAAATCTGAAGTTCCTGTTTTCAGTAATAACTTGAGTTTCATTTAGTTTGGAGTCACCTGGTTCTAGAAATGCTACCAGGCTGCCCTCTTCTATAAATGTTTGGCTTGAGAGAAAGAAGATGAAGGAAAAAATTAGGATTTACAAATTATAGCCATGTTTATGGTATAAAGATAAGCAAAGGAGCCGGGCAGTGGTGGCGCATGCCTTTAATTCCAGCACTCGGGAGGCAGAGGCAGGTGGATCTTTGAGTTTGAGGCCAGTCTGGGCTACAGAGTGAGTTCCAGGACAATTCTGTAAGAGAGGGAAAATGAACTAATGTTCCCTCCTATGGTCAACTTTCTTTCATCTTCAAGGCTACCTGAATTGGCCCACAATTGTCATCTAGGTCCTGCTCCTTGGACAGCCTCTGTGGTTGGTTCTGCACTTCTGTAATCAGGAGACCCCCTACCTAGCCCTATAACCCCGTCATCTGAGTCCTCACTCCTTCAAAACCCACATATCCCTGGCTGAGCATGGAGGCACGCACCTTTAATCCTAGCATTCAGGAGGCGGATCTCTGTGAGTTCAAGGCTAGACTGGTCTACAAAGCGAGTTCCAGGACAGCCAGGACTATTACACAGAGAAACTTTGTCTCAAAAAACCAGCCCAAAACAAAACTCCATATATCCCAAATTGGCTGCCCTGATTCCCCCCAAACCCTGCCCTTCATATCCTAGAGGAACTCAAGAAGTTCACCCCGAGACCCTGGCATGGTTCTCTTGGAAGAGATGAAGGGAGAATTCAGACCCACCTATGTTTAGAGTCTTTTTGTGTTAGCTGAGCTTAAAGAAATTAAAAAGGGAATTAGATAGTTCCACGGAGAGTCTTGATCAGTACATACAGACCTTCAGGCATCGAAACAGCCTTTATAGCATGGTCTGGAGAGATTTCAAGCTCACTTGAGATCAGACCTTGACCTTAGATGAAGAAAGGTAAAGGAAAGGGCACTAGCGACTGGTGCTGACTAACATGGCCCAGAGTCAAGACTCACAGGCCCAGGTTCCCAGAGGAGTCCAGGAGGTCCCTCTGAGTGATCCATCTAGACACCCCCATGGTCATTGGAAGAGAAAGCACTCTATCATATTTCTGAGGATTTAAGGAAAGCGGAGATCAAATGTCTCGATTACTATTAGCTGAAGGTCATTCCCAGAGAGAAAGTAAATCTCCTAGTATTTGTCTCCCAAGACTGTTAGAAAACATACTAATGTAACACCAGAGTCCTTGGAGGATGTCCTCCTGAAAGACACAGTCTTCAGCCAATCAGTTCCAGATATCCAAAGAAAATTGCAAAACTGGTGGCGAAGCCAAACGCGAGCCTGGCCCCACCTGTCTAGACCACTACCTCAATGTATTTCAAACAGAACCTGGAAAGGGAGAGGTAAAAGAAAAAAAACGACATAATAACCTGCTGGCTGTTAAGAGCGCTACCCAAGGAAGAGCCATCCTGAAGTAGAGCCATCCTGAAGTAGGACATGCTTCCTCCGTGGCCAGCCAGTGTACTTCTGGAGGGAACGTCCCAAGAACTGAACTATAAGAATTATGTCTTACTCTTACCTGAACCCTTTCCCAACTGCCAAGGCAATAACTGGAGAGCAAGACAATAGCTTGAAACCAGCTCCCCCACCTAAACATTGACAGGTCCTGGGACTTCCCTCTCCTGGGTCCCTAATACCAGTCCAACTTGAGGAGCCCAGGTAACATTATAAGGTGGTGCTCCCTGAACTTCCTGGTGGATACAGAAACCTGACATTTCATGTAACCCTTTTCTCCAGGTCCCTAGTTTCACAAAACAGCCATTTTTTTCCAGGACAAACTGGGCTAGCTCTCGAGATGTATTCCATAGCCTACTGCCTGTCAATGGGGAGATAGTCTTTTCCAACACTCATTCCTCATTTTGCCTTCCCTTTGGGGCAGAAGTATTCTTCCTCAGCGTACGTGGGACTTGTCCTGCTTCTCACAGGGACTCTACGTCTGCCTCTGGTGGAGGACAATGTAGACCTTTTAGTACAGACTAGATGGGAGACTACAGGTCAGGCCATAACTGCTTCACCACCTCCGATACTTCTACAAGATCCCCTTAGCGACAAAACAACAAGCAGCAAAACTCCTTGACAGTCCAACGTCTAGGTAAGGATGAGCACCCAAAGGGAGCACTGCACTCCAGGTGGGAACCTGGGAGTTAGGGATGGGGTAAATGTGACAGCTGGACCATCCAAAAGGCTATGCATTCAAGATCCATGAGCGGATGGGTGGGGCTGTATTTGTATTCTTCCAGATACTACCTGATGGTACTACAACCACAAAACACATTGGCTTTAGAAGTAAATAAGCAGAGAAACACCGTATGGGCAAGGAAGGTAGTGAAAAAATATGCCAGTTCATTACCTGAAGGAGAAGTTCTTGTAGCTGGGCCCGCTTCTGTTTTATCCGTTCTATCCGCCTCTGCTTCTCTATCTTTAAAACATGTTATAAAAAACAAACAAATCCTTAAATCATTTTTTAAGATTTAATTTTATGAGTGTTTTACCTCCACATCATGTGTATCTGATGTCTGGTGTCCTTGGAGGCCAGAAGAAGGCACTAGATCCCCTGGAGTTATAGATGGTTCTGAGCTACTTACTATGTGGGTGTCAGGACCCGAAACCTGGTCCCCTGCAAGAGCAGCACAACTGCTCTTAGCCACCAAGCCATCTCTCCAGCCCCCAAACAAATCTTTAAAATGAAGTTAGACTTTCATCCACTGTTGTTGTATTTTGAGATAGGGTTTCCCTATGTAGCCCATGCTAGGCTCAGACCCAAGATCCTCTTGCCTCTACCTCTTAAGTGCTGGGTATACTGGCCTATGCCATCACATCCAGCATGCCTTCTTCTTTGACACATCAAGTAAAACACCTTTCTTGTCTGCCCCAACAAATTATTTCCCATTTGCTCCTTATCTACTCTGGTCTACACTAGGAGCTCCTCTTCATAGTTCTACTAACCATCATACCCTTTGTATTACTTAAGAGTCACATGAACATCTGTGTGACACTGCTGTAAGAATAAAGGCTAAGTCCCTACCCGTCAGTTATGCCCACATCCAACTGGGCTAAGCTACACCCGACTCTTTCACTAACATGCCTCTCTGATCTCACTGTCACTACTTAACTCAGATCATACCCAATACTTCCTTCTCTGTACCATTTCCCTCCCCTCCTACCAGGTGTTTTTCATTTAAAAAAATTTTTTTTTGGAGACATAGTGTTGCTATATAACCCAGACATGACAGGATCTTGTGATCCTCTTGCTTCTACCTTCCAAGTGCTGGGATTACAGGTGCACACTGTTGGACCTGGCATTTTAAAAATAGCTTCCCATTGTTTCCATAAGGGTCTACACTGCCTAGCATTCATAAATTTACTGTATCACTTCTCTACAGTCATATATAATGACCACACTCAGCTATAAGCATAATTTCATGTGCCTGTCTTGGTCTATGTAATGCCCTGCTCACCCTTAAACATTTGGCAAACTTTTGTTCCTCTGTCAAAACTGAATTCCATGATCATTTCCTTGGTAAAATCGACTCTATCCCTCCTTTGGAGAGAATCTTTTTGTCAGGGCGCCCCTTCCCTCTCCCTTCTCCTATCTCACTCCTAGATAGAACCTAGGGCCTCACGCATACCTGGCAAGAGCTCTACTTCTGAACTCTATCTTGAGCTCAGATTGAATCCTGTTTCTGACAACTCTTCCATTTTTCATCTCCTGTATCAGAGCGACAGTTTAGTTTCTTGGGGTCTGTATTTTAGTGTTAAACTTTGTCTTGTTCTGTGGTTAAGGACATGGTAATATCAGTAGATTTTAGCTTATAAGTTAATGTAATTATAATGATGTTCAAATTCTCCTCAGGAAGAAGAAAAAGAGAAAGGGAGACATTTCTACTGTAGCACATAAAAGCACTATTCTGTAGCCTTTGATGAATGTGGTTTGTTTTTTTTTTCTGTCATTCACAAGAACAATAATAGTAATTTCTAAAAAAATTTCTAGGTGGGGGTAGAGTGCAAAAGTACGGAGTAAAATCTGAAATCAACTGTAATTATCTCCAAGAGCAACTGTTAACCTCAGTCCATATTCATGGTCTTAAGAGTAAAATTACAACAAACAAATTCATTTCTGAATTGTGTCAGAGACAACACTCATTTAGAGTAATTTTTCTATGGTGCTTTAAGTTAACCAAGCTAAAAATACTTTTTAACATTGTTCCAAAATCAGTGAAGGCCACACACAAAATGCCACCCTGTCACTTACTGACGGCAAAGTCAAAGGTAAGTTTAACTTCCATAGTTATAGTTAGGATATTGGATAAGCACCCCAGGAAACAAACCACCAGCTTGAGCTATTGTTGGGAAGCATACAGATTTACTTCGCATCAAAATAATTAATCAGGTAAAATTAATCTATTAGATGATCTGCCCAAAATTTCTTGGCGGGTACTTAGAATTAAATTAGAATGGAATAAAGATCTTTTCTAAGAAACAAAAATGAAATCCATTCATTTAACTTTGCTGCTGCTGCTGCTGCTGCTGTTGTTGTTTATGTTGGGCTATTTGTTGTTGGTGTGTGTTGAGACAGGGTATGGACTCAGGCTAACCTTGAACTATGTAGTGGAGATGACCCTGACCCTTGATCCTTCTCCTACTTCCAAGTGCTGAGATTACAGGTGTGCACCATCATCACCTTCATGCCCAGACCACTCACTGACATTCTGTTACTCAGTTTCATGATTTATAAAACAAATTGCAAATTGTATCTCCAAAACTCTTCCAATTCAAAATTCTCCACAGAATCTTAAAATAATGATAGCAAACATGAATAACCAGGAATAGTTTAGTATTACATGATTATATTTCCAAATGAAAGTCCTGCATGTCAAAAAACAGACAAAAACCTACTGTCCAACAGTGCTCTCTACTTACCTCCAGGTTTTGACATTCCTGAGCAGAATTGGTAGGCAAGCCAATCCACTTGATTTCCTTTTTTTCCTTTGAAATTATGTTCATTGCCATTAGCACATTTAAAGCATCATAAACTCTTCGTCTAATGTTCTTCTGATCATAGGCCTGCTAAAAATATTTTTATTAAGTGATAATTTTTTTTTTTGGTTTTTCGAGACAGGGTTTCTCTGTGTAGTTTTGGTGCCTGTCCTGGATCTCACTCTGGAGACCAGGCTGGCCTTGAACTCACGGAGATTTTAAGGGTTATCTTTCACATGCTGTTGGTGTCGATAACAGTATCTCCAAACTGCTGAAAAAATTCTATGTCCAGTGAAAACATCTTCAAAATTCAATTAAACATTTTTATTTATGTTTACATTTTTACTTGTGTGCGTGTTGGAGGGCACAAATTCTTGCCATAGTGTCTGACCATGTGAAGTTCAGAGAGTCAAAGGAACCCTGTGACCGACTCAGGTCATCAGGCTCGGCGGCACAGTGCCTCTGATGGCTGAGCTATCTTACCAGCTCGAGGACACTACTATTTACCTGTTGGTTTATTTCCTAGGTGGTTCTGAGAACTGAACACAAAGCCTCATGTGTGCTGAGCAAGTGCTCTCCCTGGGTTTCCCTATCTCCACCTCTGAAGACACTTTAATACAAAGTAACCCCAGAAAAAAATATACTACCACCAAATTGACACTGAAAAATACTAAGGGACTTCGGGTGGGAGAAAGATTATTAAAATGGAAACTGGGGAGATGTAGAAAATAAAAATATATGGGTAAATCTCAGCTATATAAAAACAGTTATCTTATAGAACCCAGAATATGTAAAAATTAATATCCATGACAAATGTATATAGAGAGGTAAGTATTAAAAGTGTCTGCATTATTAGGAAGAATTTTATACTTTAAAACAATCAAGGGCTAGGGAGACAGAAGTGTGGGCCAAGTGCTTGCTGTGAAAGCATGAAAACCTAAGTCTGGATCCCCATCACCCATGTGCAGCAGGCATGCATCTGTACCCTGAGTACAAGGGCAGCGAAGACACGTGGATCCTAGGTGCTTACTGGCCTCCCAGGTAGCCAATCACTAAGCTTCAGGTTCAGTGAGAAACCCAGGCTCCAGGTGAGTATGCCAGGAATGGTACCATACATCTTTAATCCCAGCACTTGGGAGGCAGAAGCAAGTGGTTCTCTGTGAGTTCCAGGCCAGCCAGAGATATAAACTAAGACCCTGTCTATAAATAAATACATAAACAAAAAGATAAATGAAAATAAGGTGATACATAACAGATACTCGATATTAACCTCTGGCATCTGCACACCCATGCATTAGCCTCCACACTCACATATACAACATAAACAGACAGCATATACATATGCACATACATATCAAAGATGGATGTTTTAAGGTCTATGGAAAACTGCGCTTCTTTTTTTTTTTTTTTTTTTTTTGGTTTTTTCGAGACAGGGTTTCTCTGTGTAGCTTTGCGCCTTTTCCTGGAACTCACTTGGTAGCCCAGGCTGGCCTCGAACTCACAGAGATCCGCCTGGCTCTGCCTCCCGAGTGCTGGGATTAAAGGCGTGCGCCACCACCGCCCGGCCAAAACTGCGCTTCTTACAATGTGGTTTGTGGGAAAGTGCTGACTAGCTGGTTTCAGTCTATAATGAGAACAGGACCTTATCCAGAAACATTTCTGTACTCTCAACACACTGATTGGTTCTGCTAACCCTTTCTTTTGGTAATAAAACTTTTACTGAATGAATACATTTATATTGATTTGTATCATGAGGTTCTTATCGTATTGTAGATAGGACGTTCTGGATTTCCTTTTTTGGTGGGGGAGCTTTTTTGAGACAGGATATCTCTGTGTAGTTCTGGCTGTCCTGAACTTATTCTGTAGACCAGGCTGACCTCTATTCAGAGATCCACCTGCCTCTGCCTGGTGATAGGAAGTTCTTAAGACAAAATTGAATCAATTAAATGTCATGATAATAAAGGATAGTGGGGAACACTGAATCCATCCAAATATAAAATGTAATTAAATCAACAGAAAATTTAAATTATGGAACTGAATGTAAATATTGTATTCTTGACATTGTAGACTACATCTAACATCAATTTCTGGGTGAAATCCTAGTATTCTGAACTTTTCTATTCTGTTTTTTTGACATGAGGGTCTCACTTTGTAGGGCAGGTTAGCCTTGTATTCACTATATACTGCAAGCTGGCTTCGAAATTGTGGATTTTCTCCTGCTTCAATTTGCCTCAAAATTTGTAAGGCTCCAAAACTATTGGGGGGCTAGCAACATGGAGCAGCTGGGTAAAGCATTTCCCAGGTGAGCCTGAAGTCCTGAGTTCAATCTCCAGAACCCAGGAGAAGGAGGAAGGGGAGAACTGACTCCACAGCATCGTCCTTTGACTTCTGCACACAGGTCATGGCATGCATATGCCCACACACCATACATACAAACATAAACAATAAAAATTTCAAGATACGTATCTGTTCAAATAAAAAAGAAGAGAGTATTTCCAAAAACAAACCAAAAATTTACAATAGAAATGTCCTCAACATGAAATAGAAACTCTCAGTTCAAGGATTCCCTACTTCCTCCATTCCTCAGATCTATCAGACAGACTCCCAGGTAAACGGAATCATCAGGTATCATAGTCCCTATGAAGGTCATGGTCCACTTACCGAATCAGCGGCCAGATGGTTACTTGAATTGGTAAACTCAGACACCAGCTCATCGGCCACTTCATTGTATGATGTTGTGCCTTTTCGCTGAACTTTCTCACATACTTTCATTGAAAAATGCCTCAAGCCTTTCCCATTTTTATCACCTTTTTTGCTTCGTTTACTAGAAAAGAAAAATAAAAGATTTATGAAAAAATTCATATGCCATTATCTTAAAGAGACTTCCTCTATAAAACTATGCAAAAAATAAAACCAGAAGACAATCATTTAGTTTCTACGTTTTAGTTAGTTTCAATGACTAAATGAAAAAAATTTAATGAAAAATTAAATGAAAAAATTTAAGTAGAATAGAGGAAATGTTTTCAAATTTAATTTTTATTTAAGAGCTTAACAATATACAGAGTGTTTTTCTATAATGTCATTCACTTAGTAAGCATGAATTGACAAATTACTGTCATATGCTAGTCAGTATTAGACACTGGAAATAAATTTGTGAAAAGTTACAGTAATTCTACCTTCTAGAGATTATTTCTTAGTTAATATTTATTTTTCTTTGACATTAAAACTATCACTGTCTCAGTTCTTAGCCATTAAGACTTGAGGGGTTAGTTTAGTTCTAAAAATATGTGAGCATCAAATATATATAAGAACTGTTTTAGGGACCAGAAGTATAAAAATTCAGGTGCAATTCCTTCCTTCAGTGAATCTTTTTTTGTTTGTTTGTTTGTTTTGTTTTTTTGAGACAGGGCTTCTCTGTGTAGCTTTGCGCCTTTCCTGGAACTCGCTCTGTAGACCAGGTTGGCCTCGAACTCACAGAGATCCGCCTGGCTCTGCCTCCCGAGTGCTGGGATTAAAGGCATGCGCCACCACCGCCCGGCTCCTTCAATGAATCTTAGAGCATGATGATGAAACATATTCATAGTGGTGGGCAATTCCAAAGGTAAAAGTGCCAGGCCATAGTGACTCAACACTGTTCTGTGGGAAGAGGGAAGATGGACAGCTATTTTAACCTACAGGAAGATGACTTGTGGGGAGAGTCAAGGTCAAAGGCAGGAAGTGAGGAGAGCCTCAGTCAGGAGAAGCAGCAGCAAGCAGAGGATGGAGGAAAGAGGCAATACACATGAAGAGTAAGAACAAGGAGGGTGGGCTCACCCGGTTAGAATGCAGGGTGAGCAGTGATAAACGTGGGAGGCCAGGTTGTGACTCAGACACAAGGCAAGCAAATGTCCACTTCATCTCATCATGTTTATCGGTATAATCCATCTTCTTAATAAATCATTGAAATGTTCTATGTTAACATAATCCCCAAAACGCACTAGCCATGCTCTTTTCCAAAGAATGAGATAAGAAGAGGATATCCACTTTCTGTTCCCTACATTCTTGTGATGGTTGTCAACTTGACTACATCTAGAGTCAACTAATACCGAAGCTGCCAGGTTTCTTTAATTTTTACTTCTTTTTTTTTTTGTTTTTTTTCGAGACAGGGTTTCTCTGTGTAGCTTTGCGCCTCTCCTGGAACTCACTTGGTAGCCCAGGCTGGCCTCGAACTCACAGAGATCCGCCTGCCTCTGCCTCCCGAGTGCTGGGATTAAAGGTGTGCGCCACCACCGCCCGGCTAATTTTTATTTCTTGAGACAGGGTCTCACTATGTACTCTAGCTAGCCTGGAACTCACTACAGAGACAAGGCTGGCCTCAAACTCATGCAAATCCAGCTACATCAGCCTTCAGATCTTCTTTCCTGCTTTTTTCTTTTTACTTTTTGAGACAGGATTTCTCTGTGTAGCCTTGGCTGTCCTGGAGCTCACTCTGCCTTCAGATTTTCTTAATCAGATATCTGATGCAAGAAGATCCACCTTAAATCTTGGCTACACCTTCTGGTGGCAGCCCAGATAAAAAAGGACATGGAAGAAGGAAACTTTGCTTTTTGCCTGCTTGCCCTTGTTCTCACTGGCAAGCTCATTTATCCAATTGCTGAGGAATCCCTTCAATAGTATTAGAATCCAACTCCTTCAGGATTTCAACATACGCCAAAGACCAACAGCTCTCGAGGAATCCTCCAGGACTCCAGGACCAGAGTGCAAATGCTGAGCCATCCACTGTCACGGACTGAATAGCTATCGGCTTCTGGGCTTTTTCCACTGTGAGACAGCCATTGCTGTTATTCAGACCTCACCCTGTAAACCAGTCTAAATTGTCTTTTAGTGCTTTAAGTGTGTGAGTGTGTGTGTGTGAGTGTGTGAGTGTGTGTGTGTGTGTGTGTGTGTGTGTGTGTGTGTGTGTGTGTGTGTGTTTCAGTCTATTAGTTCTGTTCCTTTAGAGAACCCTGACTAATACAATTAGGAAAGAATCATTAATGTGTCCCTAGAGTATAGGCACTGCATTACTGAAATGCAGTGAAACTAAGTGACTGAGTTGCACAGTGAGATACTAATGTGGGCAGAAATTACTGTGTTAAAGTTGAAGGTGAATTTAAGGGGAAAAGGAGGTGAAAGAAAAAACCAGCTAAGAAGCTATTGCAACAGCTGAGGTGATGACCTGAAATTAGGTCAATGGTAGAGAAGAGGAACAGACAGGACCGCAAACATTGAAAGGCAAGAAGTAGAACTAAGCATCTGACTGATATGGAAAGAAAGGAACAGAGAAACAGCAAAATCCGAATTGAGTGTTTAAACAGTAGGAGGACACTCTGAGGGGCTGGTGAGATGGTTCAGCGGACAAAGGTGCTTGCCTCCAAGTCCACTGACCAAAGGTGGACCTGGAACTCACGCAGAGGAAGGAAAGAACTGAGTCACTAAACTGTCCTCTGGCCTCCATATGTGTTCAGTGGCACACGGGCACCAGCACTGACAAATGCACAGTAAGTACGTGTAATTTTAAATGTTAGAGGCTAGAGATGCCCGCAGTTCAAAACACATGCTGCTCTCACAGAGGACCAGAGTTTGGTTTCCAGCCCACACCAGGCAGCTCACAACCACCTGCAACCCCAGCTCCAGGAGATCCCATGCTGTCTCTGACCTCCAAGGGTACCGGAATGTCTGTCTGTCTGTCTGTCTGTCTGTCTGTCTCTCTCTCTCACACACACACACATACACACACACACACACATACTCAAGTAATCTTATAAACAAAAACCTCTTTAACTGCCAAGCATGGTGATGAGTACCTGTAATACCAGTACTTGGAAGGCTCAAAAAAAGAAAAATAAAACCAAACAAACAAACAAACAAAACCAACAACAAAACATAACTCATAACTCCCCCCCAAATTAATTTCATTAAGTAGGAATTTTGTGTGCGTGTGTGTGTGTGTGTGTGTGTGTGTGTGTGTGTGTGTGTGGCTAGACAGTTGGCTCAGTAGTTAAGAGCCCTTGTTGCTCTTGCAGAGGACCTGGTTGGGTTTCCAGCATCTACATGGTGGCTCACAACCATCTGTAACTCCAGTATTAGGAGATCTGATGTCTTCTTACCTCCTTGGGCACTGAATGCATACATAGACATATATGCAGACAAAATACTCATATGTACAAAAACAAATAAATCTAAGAAGAGTTTTTAAGAAGATTTTTGTGGGTATATATATGAATTCCTGTTCAGCACATACTTAGGACACTGGTAAGTCAGGGTTTATCTATGTTCAGTTTTACCGATAATGCCAACTTCCAAAAATTATTGTGCTAATTTACACTGCCATTAGTAGCACAAGAGCATTCTAGGTACTTTACACACCTGTAAAAGTCAATGGTGTCTTTTTTCCTGGTGGTTATTTAGTAGATATAGAACAGTTAAGTACTGTGCCGGGTGGTGGTGGCGGCGGCGGCGGTGGCGGCGGCGCATGCCTTTAATCCCAGCACTTGGGAGGCAGAGGCAGGCGGATCTCTGTGAGTTGGATGCCAGCCTGGGCTACAGAATGAGTTCCAGGAAAGGCGCAAAGCTACACAGAGAAACCCTGTCTCAAAAAAAAAAAAAAAAAAAAAAAAAAAAATTAAGGGGCTGGGGATTTAGCCCAGTGGTAGAGCACTTGCCTAGTAAGCTCAAGGCCCTGGGTTCGATCCTCAGCTCCAGAAAAACAAAACAAAACAACTACATAAGTTTTTAAATTTTTTTTAAAAAATGACTAATGCTGATTAGTACTTTTAAGTAAGTTTATTAACTATTTGTATTTGTTGCTGGAATAAGAGATTCTATTATTTTGTTTTTTCAGTTGAGAACAAGGTCTCACATTAGCCCATGCTGGCTTATAATTTCCTATGTAGCTGAGGATGTTGTAAAAACATTGGCAAGGCTTTATTAACAGAACAATTATCATCTTACAGAGGTCAATGGACTCTGAAATGACAACGCTCATTTCAATATAGTGTCTTACTGATATGACACTGAGTACGGTGGCTTGTAGGACACTGTGAACATAGGCTCATACAATGGCTCTAACCCAATAGATTCTTTCTTTTCTCTCCTAGTGCTGGGAACGGAACTTAGGAGGAATGAATGTTATACAAGTGCTCTACCACTGAGCTGTATTCCTAGCTTACAAACTGACAGTCTTTAATGCCAGAGCTAACTGACTGGAGAGATATTTATACTTGTGTAAGAGAGACCACAGTAATTCTGATATACAAAAGTAAAACCACTATGCTGTGGGATGTTCTGTATGGCAAATGTGTTGCTAATTAGTCAATAAATAAAACACTGATTGGCCATTGGCTAGGCAGGAAGTGTAGGCGGGACAAGGAGGAGAATAAAGCTGGGAAGTGGAAGGCTGAGTCAGAGAGACACTGCCAGCCGCCATGATGACAAATAGCATGTGAAGATGCCGGTAAGCCACGAGCCATGTGGCAAGGTATAGATTAATGGAAATGGATTAATTTAAGCTGTAAGAACAGTTAGCAAGAAGCCTGCCATGGCCATACAGTTTGTAACCAATATAAGTCTCTGTGTTTACTTGGTCGGGTCTGAGTGGCTGTGGGACTGGTGGGTGATAGAGATTTGTCCTGACTATGGGCCAGGCAGGAAAACTCTAGCTACAAATGGCGTCCAACGTGGTGGCAAGAGTTTCCACCTAAAACCTGAGAAAAGATTCTAAAACGGAGCTAAAAACAGTTCCTAATTGTCTCTCTCAAATGAGCGGCAGCTGCTGGTTTAAGCTACTGGTGGGTTCCCGGAGTGTGCGCTCGACCTGCAGTATGGTGGGAATGAGGCCTCTGCAAGTGGCACATTAAGCTGCATGGTGGATTTAGACTTTCCTAGTACAAAAAAAAAAAAAAAAAAAAGAGGTTTCTGGGCTACACGCTGCTTGGCTAAAAACATAGACCCATGATAGCTCCCAGAGCTGGTGGTAAACCGCCGCCATGTTGGGAAGCTGAGGTGGGCAGAGCCAGCAGCCACAGCTGCTGCAGTTTAAAGCAATAGATTCACAATAAGACAGATTCAGATGTGATAGTTTAAAATGTGTGTAAAAGATACGCAGGCTTGAAAGAGACAAAAAAGGTGATATATACAGTTATAGAAACAAATACATAGTTTTAAAAAGTAAAGTCTCTAAAGAGACAGTAAAATTAATATAAAAAATAAGCCACGTAAAGATGAATATTACACAGAGAATCTGGGTTGTGTTGTCTTTGGGATTTTTAACTGCAGAAAAACATTTGATTGTAAAAACTGTTGAGTTATGCCAAAATGTATATTTTAAAGGTACCTTGACTTCAAAATTTGGATATAAGGATATGTTGCTTTGGAAAAGAGTCTCTTTTGTTCCCACAGAAAGCCAGAGGCTATGGATTTGTTCCAGATTAAGATACATCAGGTTTGACGAGCCAAGACCCCCTGAAAGGTCTCCGATGGCACCATGGCCCAGATGATCCAACATTCAGAACCGTTTCAAGGCGACTGGCTCAGACAATACAGCCTCACGGACTATTCCATAATCCTAAAATTTTCTTTGTGTCCCCATAAGATACAGCGCCCCCCTCCAGCAGGAAGTAGTAAGAGAAGCTACGCCCAAATTCCCAAATTATATGTAATTTTGCTTTGTTAAGGTTAAAACCTTCCTTTCTGAAAAAAAAAAGGGGGGAAGTACTGTGGGATGTTCTGTATGGCAAATGTGTTGCTGATTAGTCAATAAATAAAATACTGATTGGCCATTGGCTAGGCAGGAAGTGTAGGTGGGACAAGGAGGAGAATAAAGCTGGGAAGTGGAAGGCTGAGTCAGAGAGACAATGCCAGCCGCCATGATGACAAACAGCATGTGAAGATGCCGGTAAGCCACGAGCCATGTGGCAAGGTATAGATTAATGGAAATGGATTAATTTAAGCTGTAAGAACAGTTAGCAAGAAGCCTGCCACGGCCATACAGTTTGTAACCAATATAAGTCTCTGTGTTTACTTGGTCGGGTCTGAGTGGCTGTGGGACTGGTGGGTGATAGAGATTTGTCCTGACTGTGGGCCAGGCAGGAAAACTCTAGCTATACCACTATACTAATATTCTAAGAAAAGATGACCTTATACCCCAAAAAGTGTCTAATGAATCAAGCATTTACTATGATCTAAAACTATTTAAGGAAAAAGAAAACAACTTGTTTAAAAGTTTGGGCATGTTAGGATACTATGAAATATTTACTTTGGAAGAACATTTTCTTTCCTAAAAGAAAGGAGGGGGCAAAATGACTAATGCCAAAGGATATCTATTGAAACTTTGCAAACAAGTGAATTAAAAACCTCAGTGCAGAATGAAATAATGGTAGCAACTGAATAAAGTTATGCAAAGGATCCCCCTCCTTTTCATAGTGGAACATGAAACAAAATATACTTATACTCACCTTTCTGAAAAATCTGAGTCTATAAATTCTCTAGCTCGTTTTCTATCACTAAAAAGACAAAAAGACAGCTTAAACATAACACATAACACAACTCTGTTTCTTAAATAAATCATTATAATTTGTCTCATTCTACACTGAATGTACACATAAGAAAACTAATTTTTACTATGGGATAAAGACATGATAATATAAAAATCCTTAAACTGGAATAAGCTCCATGAATACTTGGGTAGGAGAACAGTACAGATTTGCAAATGAATTTTTACAAAACTTTTTGTCTATGTGGATATGTCTGTCCATCTGTATAAGGCATAAATAAAGCACTTGACAGAGTTGTTACTTCATTAACTTACTTATCCTTGAAACAAGGTTATTCTTAATAAAGAGTTACTGTTTGCTCAAACTCACATACGGTAGAACCCAAGTAGTATGCTACTAGACATATAACTCCTCAAGTAATAAAACTTCAAAAGTGATAAAATAAGGTTGGGGAATTATTTTAATATTTTTCCTTCTTCCTTTTAATTTTTATTTATGTGTACATGCCACATGTATGCGGGTGCCCACAGAGGTCAAAAGGTATCAGATGCCTTGGAGCTGGAGTTAACAGGTGGTTCTGAGCCACCTGATATGGGTGCTGGAACCAAGGTTTTCCTTTGTAAGAATAAGTGTTCTTTACCCACTGAGTCTTGTCTCCAGCTCCCCCCGACCCCCCGACAAGATTTTACTGTCACCAGGCTGGCCTTGCACTCTCTCAGTGGCCTGAGATTACAGTAATGCACCACCACTCCTGGCTTCATTACTTTTTCCAGAAGATGGGGTGCTGAAGTAAGAGAGGAAAAGCACTTTGGAGACACAGGTGAAACAAAGGGCTTGACAGAAATGGTGGCAGCAGTAACAGAGAAGGGAATCTACTTCATTGCCTAGTATTTATTTTAAAAATCAGGGGGAGTTTTAATGAAAATATTAATATATTTGTCTTCTCTTCCTAGTTTCTTGTCTGATTTTTAAAAAACTCAAAGGGAAAATCATTCCTTTCTTATGTGTTAAAACAATATAGAATCAATTTTTATATCCCCAAAGTAGCTAAGTATTATAATCATAAAAATGGTCCTATTTCAGAGTTTTAAAAACTCAGAAGGTCTGGTTATAACTTGTTAAATTGTTTTTCTCAGCTTAAATATGGTTGTACTCAGGGGGGGAGAGATGGCTCAGCAGTTAAGAGCATTGGCTGCTCTTCCAGAGGACCTAGGTTCAATTCCCAACACCCACATGGCAGCTCACAACTGCCTGTAACTCCAGTTTCAGTAGGTCCAACACCTTCACACAGACAGACACACAGGCAAAACATGAATGCAAATGAAATAAAAATGAAAAAAAGTATAAAAATATGATTGTACTCACTGACATGGTGGCACTGCCTATGGGCAACCACAAGTTGGAGGAAGCCTAGGCTACAGACAAAGCCCAGTCACAGCTGGTGATTTTAAAACAATATGTTAGTTTTTAAAGATCTAAACCAGCTGGGCAAATCACTGTAGCCTCAGTACTCAAGAGGCCGAGGCAGAAGGATGACTGAGAGTTCAAGGCCAGGCAGGGTTATACGTCAAGTATTAGGTGAGCCAGAGTTCAATCCTAAGACTGTCTCAGACAACAGTAAAACCCCTCAAGCTCACAGCAGCCTGTGACCAGCACTCAAAGGTTGACACAGTCGGATCAGGAGTCAGGATGATCACTTAGCTGACTTAGTGAGCTGGAAGCCATCCTAAACTACAAGAGATCCCATCTCAAAACCCCCCAAAACAAAATAAATAAGGCCCCCTCCCAAAAAAACCCAAAATAACTAGACTAACAAAAGCAGAAGAGAATTCAAGGCCTGGAGAAATGGCTCAGAGTATTAAACGCTTGCTGTACAAGCCCAAGGCCCAGACCCCAGCACCCACAGAAAAGCAGGGACTGTGGGGCAACCTGCCTGTTTAACAGTATCCACTCAGGGGCCAAGTGAGGAGATTATTGGGGTAAGCTGGCTAGATAGACTAGTCAAATCAGCAAGATCTGGCTTCAACCAGAGACCTCCCTCAGTAAATAAAATGTAGAGTGATCAAGGTAAACACCTGTTGTTAACCTCTTGCCTCCATATATATACATGCATACACATGTATGCTCACAAATACATATGCCCACAAATATGTGAACATTTACATCATACACACAGACACACACAAAAAATTTTTTGAAAAAAGGAAATTCTGGAGAGACAGCGCTGTGGTTCAGAGCACATACTGCTCTTTCAAAGGACCAGGGTTCCTTGGTTTACTGCATCTACCTTGGGTGGATCACAACAACCGCCTGTAACTCCAGCTCCAGGAAGCCAATGCTCTTTTCTGTATTCAGCAGGCATCTGCACTAATGGTCACATACCTCACCCCCTTACAAACACACATACACGTAATTAAAATAAACTCTTTGGGCTGGCAAGATGACTTGGTGGGCTAGAGGCCCCTGCTGGCAAGCCTGACAAACTGAGTCTGCTCTCTAGGACTCACACAGTGGAAAGAGAACTAACTTCCAACGTTCTCCTTTAACTTCTACACATGCTACACAGCATGTATGTGTGTGCACATTTGCCAAATAAATAAATAAATAAATAAATAAATAAACAAATGTGAGACGTAAAAGTGGGGAGGTAGGAAGACAAGGACAAGACAGCAGGACAGTAAGGGATAGGAGGCTTAGAAACAGTCATTTCAGACCCTCTTACCTGGGAACCCAGCCGGCCGCCTCAGCTATGTGTGTCTGAGTGACCATTGCTGGTGCAGAGGGATATGGACTTCCAATCAGAACACTTCCTGAATTGGTAATTCTCTGTGGTGTGCTTATAATCTGTAGAGTTGGTAACAAGAAAACAAAATTAAGTATTCATGCCTTTAATCCCAGCACTAGGGAGGCAGAGGCAAGTGGACCTCTGTGGGCTTGAGGCTAGCCTGGTCTACATAGTGAGTTCCAGAACAGCCAAGGCTACATAGTGAGAACTTGTCTCAAACAAATGAGTAATTTTAAAAGGAAATATTTAAATTATTACTTTAACAAATGTAAATGGGAGCTGGAGATGGATCATGCAGTTAAGAGCACTGGCTGTTCTTCCAGAGGACCTGGATTTGATTCCCAGTACCCATATGGCAGCTCATAATTGTTTGTTATTCCAGTTCCAGAGGACCCAATGCCCTCTTCTGGCCTCTGCAGGCATCAGGTGCACACACGGTGCATAGACACACATGCAGGCAAAATAAATGAATGAATGAATGAATAAATAAATAAATGAAATTAATAAATAAATAGAGAAGATGTTGCAGTGCTAACACAGAAGGAAGTGCTGTCTGAACAGCTCTTAATACCAATCACCTAAACTATCAGTAGTACCTTTGATTTATTCATATCCTAGCATCTTAAAACACCAGTATCCTGATTCCTGGCATGCTATCACAATGTAGATTCAAGTACGTAAACAGCAATTTGGAAGGATTAAACAGGTAACTAACAATGGCTTACCATCAGAAAAATGCAAAGCCTATAATCCCAGTAGTGTGGGAGCTGGAGGGATGGCCCCTAGGTTCAGAGTGCTTGCTGTACAACTATAAGGACTGGAGTTTGAATCCCAGCAAAATAACAAGCTGGGGAAACCACACACACCTGTAACCTAAACCCAGCCCTGAGGGAAATAGGGAATGGAAAGATTGTTAGGGCTTACCAGCTTCCAGTCTAGCCAAAAATATGCAAACCCTAAATTCAGGGAGAGACCCCGCCTCCTATGAATACGCAGAGAGAACATAGGAAGATAACTAATGCATGTTTCTGGCCTTCAAGCACACATGTGTAACACACTCATACACAAACATATCTTTAGTCCTAGTACTTGGGAGGTACAGGTAGGAGGGTCTTAGAAAGTCTGAGGCCAACAAGGGCTTCCAAAAGAGACACTGTCTTAAAAGCAAACAAACAAAATCTCCAACCACTACCCCTGAGAAAGAGGGAAGCAAAAGCTTTATTTGAAATTAAGTACAGAAACTGTAGTAGAACCTGATTTATGTGAACCAGGACAGGAGTGAGTTTGATCTTCAGAACCCAATATACACCCAAAGCCACTATACAACCTGATTGTTACAGGATGCATGAACTAAGTTCCCTGAAATAGCACGTCTACATTCTGTAGACTGATTTGAACTTCAGAAACTCACGACAGTGGAGAGTTAGAATGTTGCAGATAGAGAGTCAATACCACTAGCTTTCACTAAGCCAAAAGCTAAGAATATCATCAGACAGCATCTGAGACCTTCAGAGTTTTTCTTGTTTTGTTGTAACCTGTGTACCTGATGGCCCCAGGAATGAATGCATTGACTGGTTCTTTGTTCTTTGTTCTATGACTACAAAAACCCATGCAACCACTTCACAGGGACATGTCATTTGGAACAAGTTGAATTTGTGTTCCCATGCCATGGGCCACTCTTACTTGTCTCAAAATAAACTCTCTCATTTCCTTTGGGGTGAAAATTGTGTTTTGCATGGACAAATGTAATTCTATCTTCATTTTTCCTCTTCCAACTTTACTCCATATTATTAAATAAAGTATTCTTGTCAAGCATGGTGGCATATGCCTATCACTTGAGAGGTAGATACAAGAGGACTACCACAAGCTCAAGGTTAGCCAGGTCTATCTACATAGCAAGTCAAATCTATTCTAGGTTGCATAGTGAGACCCAGTATCAAAAAACTAACTACATACATGTATGCATACATACATGTATAAAATGGAGCTGGGATGTAGCTCAATTTAGGTAGAGTGCTTGCCTAGCATGCATGAAGTTCTGGGTTTGATTCCTACTGATCCCCAGGACCACATAAGCTGGATGTGATGGCCCATGCCTGTAATCACATTTGGAAGGCGGCAGCTGGAGGATCAGAAATTCAAGGTCATTCTTGGCTACAAAGTAAGCTTGAAGACAGCCTAGGGCACATGAGACCATCTTAAAATACATAAAACTTGTACCATGTGGACTTAATATCCTTAATTAGTAGATGTATATGAATTTTCAATTATTCAGTTATAAATAGTCAATTACAAATAATGTTAGCCATTTCTTGGCCTTGATTTCTTTTCCCTTTTGTCTTTTTGTTTGTTTGTTTTCTGAGACAGGTTTTCTCTGTGTAGCTTTGGAGCCTGTCCTGGAACTCACTATGTAGCCTTGGCTGTTCTGGAACTCACTATGTAGACCAGGCTAGCCTCGAACTCACAGTGATCTGCCTGCCTCTGCCTCCTGAGTGATGGGATTAAAGGCACTTGGCACCACAGCCCAGCTCCACTTTTTAATGTTTGTTTTCTCATGCAGCGCCAGCTGGCCTGGCACTCTCCATGTAGGTGGGGATAACCTTCACCTCCTGATCTCCCTGCTTCTACCTACCAAATGCTGGTGAGCTACTACTGCTCACCTCTGTCTGACCTAAAGTCCTTCAACTATTAAATTAAAACCTTGGGGAGAGATGGCTCAGTGGTTAAGGGCACTGGCTGCTCTTCCAAAGGTCCTAAGATCAATTCCCAGCAACCACATGGTGGCTCACAGCCATCTGTAATGAGATCTGGCACCCTCTTCTGGTGTGCAGACATACATGCAGACAGAACACTGTATACACAATAAATAAATAAATCTTTAAAAAAAAATTAAAACCTTGGAATGTACTACTTTAGTGTCTCACCAGCATCCACCAACCACAAAACTAAAAAGTGTCAGCAGGTAGTATCTGAAACCTATAGAATTCTCCATGCTAGCTGATATTCCCATCAACGCATCTGGTGACTATAAAAGTTTATGAGGGGCTGGAGAGATGGCTCAGAGGTTAAGAGCACTTGGCTGCTCTTCCAGAGGTCCTGAGTTCAATTCCCAGCAACCACATGGTGGCTCACAGCCATCTGTAAGGCGATCTGGTGCCCTCTTCTGGCCTGCAGGCATACATGCAGACAGAACAGTGTATCTGTAATAAATAAATCTTTGCCGGGCGGTGGTGGCACACGCCTTTAATCCCAGCACTCGGGAGGCAGAGGCAGGCGGATCTCTGTGAGTTCGAGGCCAGCCTGGACTACCAAGTGAGTTCCAGGAAAGGCGCAAAGCTACACAGAGAAACCCTGTCTTGAAAAAAAACAAAAACAAAAAAAAAACAAAACAAAAAAAAAACAAAAACAAAAAAAAAGTTTATGAAACGTCTTCACGGTGAAACATGTTATTCAGGAGGTAATACAAATCATGTTCCTGCACCATGGCCACTCATATTATCCTCAAAATAAACTTTTATTTCCTTTGAAGTGACAGCTGTGTTTTGTGTCAGAATGTGTAACCAAAACTGCTTTTTAGGGCTTATCATTTTCACTGGTAAAAGAACATATTTTTAACAAAAGATGAAATAATGCAAAATATTTGTTACTAGGTAATAAAAAGTTTTTCTTGTCTTTGCATAGTTTTTGTTTTATTTATTTATTGGTTTTGGTTTTGTTTTTGCGACAGGGTGTCTCTATGTAGACCTGGCTGTCCTGGAACTCACTCTGTAATCAGGCTGGCCTCAAACTCAGAGATCCACCTGCCTCTGCCTTCCAAGTGCTGGTATTAGAGTGCACCACCTGCCACCCACCCCTTTTTAACTTATGTGGTTTTAATGAGCTGTCTGCCATAACCTTGGGAATTTGAATACTTGGTGCTTTCTGGGAGGGAGGTTCAGGAGATGTGGCCTTGTTGGAAGAAGTATGTTAGTTGGAGTAGGTTTTGAGAGTTTAAAAGATTCCAACCACCCCAGTTCATTTTTTTGCTTCATACTTATGGTTCAAGATATGAGCTCTCCACCTATGTGGCCTGGGCAGGCGTTTCCATGATGGGTAAGGTGACTTGCTGACATCCCACGCAACCTAAGTCAGAAGCTCATTTTTTAGTAAAAGGGGGACCTGTAGGGCCCTAGCTCCTGTTTCGGGTAACTGTTGCCTTGCTTGCTGACCTTGACATTGATATCCTCCCTATGCTAATTCCCTGCCGGGTTCCACCCTCTTGAATGCTTAAGGGAAGTTCCTTGTCTGTGTATCCTGCATAATGGGTGTTAACAGCTTAGATGCAAGATTGTAGAACATCAGTACCGAACTTCTGCCCTCGGGGTTCTCCCATTGTGCTGTAAGCCTGTATTTAAGACCTCCTCCCTCCTTCAATAAACGGCATTTGGCATTAAAAATAATTAATTAATTTAAAAAAAAGATATGAGCTCTCAGCTTGCTACTCCACCTGCTAGCTTCTCTACCATGAGGGACTCTTTCCCTCTTGAACCATAATTCCAAATACAATCTTGCTCTATAAACCGCCTTGCTCTGCGTTTTTTTAAAATCACAATAGAAGTGTAACTAATACAACTTAAACAAATGAGTGTGTGGTGCATACATATATGATGGTCAGACAACTTGTGGAAATCACTTCTTTCCTTCTACCGAGTGGGTCCCAGGCACTGAATTCAGGCCGTCAGGTTTGGTGACAGATGCTAAGCCATTTCATGAGATCTTGAAAGAATTGTTACAAAAAATAATTTTTTTTTTTTTTTTTTTTTTTTTTTTTTTTTTTTTGGTTTTTCGAGACAGGGTTTCTCTGTGTAGCTTTGCGCCTCTCCTGGAACTCACTTGGTAGCCCAGGCTGGCCTCGAACTCACAGAGATCCGCCGGCCTCTGCCTCCCGAGTGCTGGGATTAAAGGCGTGTGCCACCACCGCCCGGCACAAAAAATAATTTTTAAGGAAGAAAAAGTTTGGAAGCCAGGTGTGGTGGTGTACACCTATAAGAAGGCAGAGTCAGAAGAATCCTCCACATGT